TGAACAAAAATGAATTTGTGTTTAATTTTCTGATAAAGCTAATACTACTGCTACTACAACAATAACAATAATAATAATAATATAATAATAATAATATAACAATAACAACAACAATAATAATATAATGATACAATAATAATGATATAACAATAATAAAATAACAATAATGACAATAATATAATACTAATATTATAATAACAGCAATAATTAATAATATAAGAGCAATCATAATATAATAATAATATAACATAACAATAATAATAATAATAATATATTAATAATAATATATTAATAATATAATAAGAGCAATAATATAATAATAATATAATAAGAGCAATAATAATATATTAATAATATCATAATAACAGCAATAATAATATCATAATAACAGCAATAATAATAATAATATAATAATAATAATAACAAACAGTGTTGGTGGTCTTTGAATCCTCATTTATATTTTGCCTTTTTAAAGTTCAGTCCTTATACTCGCTTGGTGGGCCAATTTAGGAACATTCCTTCAAATCTGTTGCCAAAAGTGGAACCTCCAGTGTACAATTGATCTCCTCCATGGCACCAATTCATGGGAAAGTCCAACAGTTTACCAGGTGACACTCAAGTCAGGATATAGACCAAGCATTAACATTAACACACATATTCTCAACAAAAGGAAGCAAGTAAGTTTTAGTTACTTACCACTGCATTTAAACTGCTTCTTTATTATTATTTATAGGATTGATCTGTGCCTCTTGTTGCAAAACATTGATAATATTTTAGTGCATTGCATAATTAAAATTTATATATAATTTTATGATAAGCAAATATAAATGGATATAAATCCGACAGAATGAAGAAAATATATGGAAAAACAAAACAAAAATCCTTAAAATGCGATTATGTTGTTTTAATATGAATGAAATGTCGACGTCTGACGTTTTGGTTTAATAACCTTCTTCAGGACAATATTCATTAAAAATACAATTAACATAATCAGTATAACACGACGAAAATGATGGACATAAAAACAAGTCTTATCCAAAACAGATAAAGGAAAATTTTAATTGTATTTTTAATGAATATTGTCCTGAAGAAGGTTATTAAACCAAAACGTCAGACGTCGACATTTCATTCATATTAAAACAACATAATCGCATTTTAAGGATTTTTGTTTTGTTTTTCCAGATATTTTCTTCATATAATTTTATCTATTCCTTCATGTTTACCTCAGACATTATGAATCAAACTCTGGAATGCGCTTTGACCATTATTTTTTTTTCATCTTTAAATATTTTTTAAACAATTTCTGTTGTTTCTTTTATGTGCGAGTGTGAATTTGGTTACGTTTGATGCCCCTTGCAGAGATTCGAGCTGAGGATTATGCAACATATTCCATTGTCAGATTAAGAATGGCCAGTTGCATTCTGCTACAACACTGAAGATTTTGGCCAACATCTCATTGATAAGCCCGCTTCGTTTTTTGTTTTTTTTTTTCAAATGAATGTTTTGAAATTCTTCCTTTTGCACAGTCATCATTTCATTTGAAGATCCTTGAATTTCTTTCTGTTTCTAGATGCCAACCAGCTCTTTGTAAACAAAAAGATTTTCTCTATTTGATAAAACTAGCTGGTTTTTGCTAAGTTGATTGATTTGTTCTTTTACGACTTATCAACCTTTTGCAGATTATTTAAAGCCAGAAGATAGTTTCACATTTCAAGAATTTTTTTTTTTAATAATGATTTACTGATACAAGTTCTACTAATTAACTCTTAGCTGGTCGGAAAAGAGGTGGATTCATACCTTTCCGAACCCAACGGTATTTTTACATAAGAGAATACAATGAACCTGACTAGAACTGGAACTTGGCTTTATGATTTCCAATTCCAAAACATTATCCATTACAACACATACAAATCCAAGCCATCAGCACCTGGTATATCCAAGTGGTCACCCATCTAGGTAACCAGTCTTGACACTGCTTAACTTTAGTAATCATACAATGTTTCACCATCATGATATTGCCATAAGACCTATTTAAGTTGAAGTATTGTCTTTATTTATATGCAGACTATTATCCTTATTTTTATTGTTATTATAACACCTTGGGTGTTGTGCACTTGTCAATCTGTTTAGCTGTCAGGGAATTTTGAATTGAACCCTTTATTTAATTTACGGAGGCAAACTGTTCTTGTGCCACTGTCCATGTCTAGGGATTTCTCATCTAGTTCTTTTTTTTTTTTTTTTTTTTGGCACTGTTCAGTTATTGCTCAAGCATTTCCACTGACTCCAAGTACACACTGCCCAAGGAATGAACCTGCAATTATTATATTACAAACTACCCGAACCAACATTTTAATCCACTAAGCTATTGTCCAGTGGGACAAGTCTGAATGAAGAACTTGGAGCCATAAACCTAACCTGTCTGCTGGTGAATGCTTCTTCTTGTTACACTTACATCCTGGGTATGATGATAAACTACATCTGCATCCTGGGTAAGATGATAAACTACGTCCAACAGCAAGACCTCTGATCAGGAGGTTTTGAGGAGCGTGGAACCACCTCTTAATTGCTGGTGTTATCAGGTCCACCCTGACCCTGTTAGGGTCCCAGCTATGGGCAAATAGTTAACCCCATAACTGGGGTCAAAACACTATGAGAGTTTAAAAATAGGTTTTAATACCAGAAATACTTTGTAAAAAAATTATTACCAGCAATAAATTTTTGAAGAAAAAAAACTATTACTAGCAATACGTTTTTGAAAAAAAAATATTACCAGCTATCCATTTTTGAGGAAAAAATATTACCAGCAATACATTTTTGAAGAAAAATATTACCAGAAATAGATTTTTGACAAAACAAAATATTAACAGGAAAAAAATTGTCAGCATTAAATGACCCATTAAGGTTGATATGCTATAAAACAAATCAAACCAAACTCATCACACTTGACTACATTCACTGAGGTTTCACTTTTTACTGCAGCTGCTGCTGAAACATTGCTGTCACTTCTCTTTATTTATTTATTTATTTATTTATTAATGGTTCCCATATCATCTTTATTTTCATACTATGTCTACTAAGGAAGAACTCATAGCCCAGTACATTCTAATTCTCTCCAGTGTTCCACTCTGTCCAGTACTTTTACTTAATTCCACAAGAGTTTGATAACTCCCCCTGTCTCTCCCCATCCATAATAAGCCATTTTTTATTTCATTGTCTCACTTACAGCTTTTTAGTGTTCATCCAGCCCTAGTAAAGCATTGCTTCATGAATTTGGGGACATAGTAATTGTGAGTTCAATCACTGGACCAGGAAGTGTGTACATGGACTCAGTGAAAATGGAGCAAGCAATAACTGAGCAGTGCTAAAAAAAAATAAGAACTAAATGTGATATCTCTATAAATGGGCATTATAATAAGAACATTTTATCTTTGTAGATTAAATAAAAGGTTCAGTTCAAAATTCTCAAGAGATTAGGTGGATTGAGAAATATCAGATGAAAGCCAGAGGGCATAATGGTTGAAACATAATTCCTCATTGCAAAAATTCAAACAGAAATTATTTATCTCTCTGTTTTTGTTTTTTTGCTTTGCTCCTATAATGAGATGACAGAAAAGGATTACTTTTAGAACAGTTTAACTTGTTTTTACTGGTAATTTCATTTTATTGCTTAATCCTGTAAATTTGTCAATGATAAAGGTTGATAAAATAAGCTGGCCCCTTAAAAGGGATTTACGCTATATTTTCCTTTTCATAGTAATTTTCAATATGCCTCCACTTTTTCATGCTATGATTTTTAAAGTTAATCTTAATTGTTATTTGTTTTCTTATTTTCATCAAATAATATGTTGAACATTACTATCTACAGATTTATTTATAATCCTGTTGGAATAAGAAAATAAATTCTATTTATACCATTTAATAAGAATAAATTAGGTCTAAGTCTAAAATTTTCACATGGTTGGAACATAGTTGCCAACTCTTTTTTTTTTTTTTTTTATTGATTGATTTTTTACAGCTTATCAACCCTTTGCAAGTTATGTAAAGCCAGAAAATATTTTTAGATTGTAAGAATTCATTTTTCTGAGATAATAACGATTCAGTGATACAAGTCTTACTAATTAACCCATAACTGGGGGAGAAGAAGTGGATTCATACTTTTTCCAAAGTAAGTGAATATAACGAACCCAACTGGAATGGGAACTCTGCCCTCCGATTAACAATTACAAGCTATTATCCATTATACCAAAGTTCTAGGTATGATGATCAACTACATCTAACAGCAAGGCCTCTGATCAAGGGATTTGAGGTTTTGAAGAGCATGGAACCACCTCTTAATAGTTTCTAGATCAACCCTGACAGGGGTGGTAGCACTTTGTTAGAGCCCCAGCTATGGCCAAATAGTGAGCCCTCCAAACATAAAACACTATGAAAGCATAAAAATATATTTTAATAGTAAAAATACCAGCAATACATTTTTATATAAAATGACCAGCAATACATTTTATTTGTAGTTGAAGGTATATAATCACTTTCAAAATGTATTTAGTTGAAGCCATAAAATTGTTCACATTATTTAGATTTCAGCATTAAATAATCCATTGTGGTTGATATGACACTAAACAAAAACAAACAAACAAAATAACATGAAAGAACTTTTTCATGACATTAATCCATATAATATTCTACAATTTCTTAAATCAAACTGTATTTCAAAATATAACTTTAAAAAAAACTACAACATAAAACACATCACCACCTTTAGTAATCATATCCACAAAAACTTGTATATGTATAAATTCTGAGTATCATCTATCATGTATTCAACTGTGAAAGCAGAATAATATATATTTTTTATTATTTCAAAGCCCCCAAGACATTTAAATTTCAGTATTAAATGACCCACAAAGAGTTGATATGCTGTTAAACCAATTAACCATTACACAACCTGCACATGCAAGCTTACAGCACCTGGTAGTCACAAGCATTCATCCAAGTACTGACCACTTGACATTGTTTAACATTGGTTATCATACAGGAACTGGTGTCCTTCATCTTCTATGTACTATGTCCCTTCAGGGTATGGGCAATCAGGACTCTCCACAACTTCTTATCCTTTGTAATTGAAATGCAATATGGAGTAATCCTTGGCCAGTCAGTAGAAAGCTTGGGGGAAGGTTGCATTGTATGATTACATATATCTATAATAACATATATTGCTCAGCTGCCATTGCCCATAGGAACCACTTCTTCCACCTATATTGTAGCAACATGTGTATCTGCAATAGAAATCTCTTTGTCTCTGCCTGTAATGAGTGTAAGTGTTTCCTCAATGAAGCAAAGTCACTATTTGCTGCTCAAATGAAAGAACATATTGCTTCTCACAAATTCGGCTCCAAGGATTATTGGCGTCTCTGCAAGAGTGTACTTAAAAATAGCAAACCCTCTATACCTCCTTCGTTCAACCAGTTCGAGGTTCTGACCTCTTCTGCCGACAAGGCTGAATGCTTTGCTTGGAAATTCTCATTAAATTCAACGCTCGACTCTTCCGGTGTACCCACACCTGATTTCCCCCTTAGAACTGCACATAACCCTGTCATCGATATTGAGCATTATCTTTAATTTACATGCCCACAAGTCTAGTGGTGGAGATGGTATATCAGCCATTGTCCTGAAGAAATGTGCACCTAAACTGGCCCTTGCCCTCTCCAAATTAAATAACTACTGCCTCAATGAATCTTGTTTCCAGACTGTTGGAAGTCCTCATCCATTGTTCCTGTCTTTAAGAACTCTGGTGACCCTTCTGACCCTTCTAATTACTGTCCTATCAGTCTCCTACCCCTCTTCGGCAAAGTCTTTGTAGCTTTAATCAATGCCAAAGTGGTTAAGCACCTTACATCCCATGATCTGCTCTCTGACAAGCAATATGGTTTCTGCTTTGCCCATTCTACGGCTGATGTGCTTACAGCCATAACTGAAATTGTTTACCTAGCTCTTCATAATAATGGAGAACTCATGCTATGGCTCTAGATATCTCCAAAGTGTTTGATAGGGTTTGGCATGCCGACCTTCTTTGCAAGCTTCAGGGTTATGGAATTTCAGGTCGATTGCTTGACTTAATACAATCATTCCTGTCAAACTGTATTGAAGGTCGTTCTCAACGGATTCTCCTCCAGCTCCTATCCCATGAACGCAGGTGTTCCTCAAGGCTCCATCCTAGGCCCTACTCTGTTCCTTATCTTCATCAATGATCTTCCTTACATCATAGATTCCTAAGTAGGCATCTACATGGACTATACCACAATTTACTCCTGCCTCAAAAACAAATCTAGTGTCGTTGACAAAACTAACCTGGCTGTTCATCTCAAAAAGGACCTCCAATCGGTTGTGAACTTGGGCAGGAATTGGCTGGTTAACTTTAACGCCTCAAAAACAAAACTGCTCTCTATTACTCACCCCAGAAAACCATCCCTTCCCCCCATTAGAATGTCTGATGCTCAACTTCTCGAGAGCTTCTCTTTGCGACTACTCGGCCTCACATTGACTGCTGACCTGAGATGGAACAAATACATCGAGTCAATAGCTTCGTCCACCACAAGAAAAGTTGTCTCCCTATACCACGCCAGGAAATTTTTCTCACTGGAGTCGATCCTTCAAATCTACAAATCAACAATTTGCCCTCGCATGGAGTATTGCTGCCATATATGGTCTGGAGCCCCTTCTGTTTGCCTCGGAGTTCTTGATAGGCTCCAAAGACAGATATGCAACATAATTGGCCCTGATCTAGCATCTCGTCTGCAGTTGCTCTCTCACAAACGTGTCGTCGCCTCCCTCTGCCTTTTTTACAAATACCTTCATGGTAACTGCTCCGATGAGCTGCTTTTGCTGGTTCCCAAACTTCATGAATTTAAGCATTCTACTAGGCTGGTATCTCGCTCACACCCTTTCACTGTCAAAACTGTTAAATGTATCCGTCTCTTCTACTCCAATAGTTTCATGTCTCGCACCTCTCGCCTGTGGAACTCCCTCACCTCTTCCTGTTTCCCTGATATCTATATTCTCCAACTATTCAAATGTAGTGTCAATCGACGTCTCCAGATGCCTTGATCTATCCCCTATCCTTCTCTTCATCCTTTCCTCTATCACTCCTCTTTGCTCTCACTCCAACTCTCTGTAACCCCTTGTGTGCTAGTGGCTTCACACCTTGCTTAGGGTGAAATGCTTAAAAAAAAAATAACATATATCTATAATAACAAAGGAAATTTTGTCTCTAGAGAAAATAAAAAATAAAACAATAATTGAAACTATATTTTAATGCTGACTGCACTTGAACATGCAGGCAGATTTTTACCTTTTCTTACCATTGCTTACCATTGAAATGATTTTAGTCATTTTGTAAAAAAAAAATAAAAAATAAAAAAAAATTGAATGACTTATCCAACTTAATCTGTACTTTGAAAGAGGCATTTACAATCCTATGAATTAATATATTCTTGTTTGATATGTAATTAAAAAATATTTATTATTGTTCATTACAACTATATTTTCAGATGAAACCTTCTGCTAACTTTCTCATTCAAGGCAAAGGAGATGGGCTTGTTTCCCAGGTAAACAACAGCTACAGTTTTGCAGTGTTTACAAAAGGTGAATAAATTCTTCAATTTGTAAAGGAGAAAAATAACCAAATAAAAATTCTTTCTATTGATTATATTGCTAAATATAAAAAAAAATTGAGAAAATATGAATAATTTTCAGTGTCTAAGTACAGGAAATGTCTTTTTTAAGTGAATTTAGGAGCATTTGATAAACAGTTTTTATATTATATAGAACGTATGCTGCTCCCTGTCAAGATTGACAATGGGATTAACAGCTATTACTACCTGGGTTGTTGTCATTCTAAACATTCAGTTTGTCAATGTGCCCCCTCACCAACAATCTCAGTATGATAGACAAAATATTTATTTGACAATGAGATTGACTACACATACTTTTCCCACAGGTATTAATTCTAAGATGAGCAGCCTTAGCCAAAATTTGAACTCAATTCACTGATTTCATTTTCCATGCTGAATAACGATTCTGCCACCAATATCTCCATTTATTAATACATATAAAAAAATCACTCAACTTGCTAAATGTTTTCACCTATTTTTATAACTTGTGAATTTGCTTGTTTTATATATTAATTGGGTTTTATTTGAATTTTTCCAAGTTTTAAGGAATTTTGTATTATTTACATTTATCCTCATCTTCATTGCCATATTCACAATGTTTCGGCCGTTGTACACTCTGGCCTTCTTCAGGTGATTGGAATTTTGAACTGAACCCTTTATTTCGTCCACCAGGGTAGATTGTTCAAGTGCCATGCCTCTTCTGGATGTCTCAGTTATTTCCCTTTTGCATTAATATTTAAATCAAAATATGTAACTAGTTGCAATAACTCTGATTTTTTTTTTAATCAGTGAAATTCTTCATCCAAATTGGATAAAGAAAGAAATTCTTCAACAGAAAATGACAGTTTTAAACAGACACAAATACAAAGTCAATTTTATCAAAAAAAATATCTAAAGAGAAATATGAATTTCTTTCTTTTACTTAAGACAGCTGAATTGCTGTTTTTGTTTTGAAATGGACATCAAAGCTTAGGATGAACCCTCATTTTATCATTGTTGCAATAAAAAGAAAAAAAAAAGAGAGAGAGAGAAAGTGAAAGAAATGGAGAATAAAGAAATAATATCAACACTAGACATTTTAATAACAGTAAAAATAATTTATTTGTAAAAGTAAAAATATAAATATATTACAATTAAACATTCAAAACAATATTGATTCAGTCTTGGTGAAATTTAAGAATTAAATCAAACAAGAGAAAAAATAAAAGATAATAGTCTCCAACAGAAAGTCAACAGTAGTCTTGGTCACAAATATTAAAAGATAGAAATGAAAATTTTACCAGCTAGTCTGTGCTAGAATTGTGCGAAGACTGATCATCGGGAGTCAGGATCAGTTCTTTGATCTTTTCTGTGATAGTGAAATTGGTGGCAAGTGAACTGAACTGGCAAGACAAACCATCCCTTCCATTTGTATAGGTGGGTACCCTCTTTGAAGAAAGTCCTCGCTATGTTCGGTGTCTTCTAGGTCAAAAGGGGACATTCTCCCACCTTTTTTTTTAATCTTTTTTTTTAATCTTTTTTTTATTCATGAACCAACTTGAATGGATACTTCTATTATGACATATATTTTCACCAATCACAATGGCTTTTCGTAGTAATTTCTATTTGTAGTATTTCCTAAAAGGGGGCTTCTGTAACACAAGTCACTTAACATAGATTAACATGAGGCCACTATTCTTGTGGGGCCCCAGACAAGTGCCCATCAGACCCATGTGTTAAGATGGCTATGGGAGCAAAGAACAAAAAAAGAGATCATTCTAGAAACACTGAACCTAGCTTGAAAACCTAGTCGGACAACTGTCAAAAAGATTTTAAGACTTTTCTACATTATGATAATAGAGTATTAACTTTTTTTTTTTAATACAGGTGTGTCAATGTCAAAAGAGAGTCTTCAGTTGTTATTCCTCCTTTGCCTACAAATGCCAGCACCTGTATGGAATAAAATGATGTACTTACCCTTTCTGATTTTAAAACCATTTCATTTGGTAAGTTTTGCAATCAATTTGCCCTTTTGTTTTTTTAACTAATATTAACACAGTGATTAACAGAAGAAAAAAAAACTTGTTTAAATATGATAGCAACAGAAATAAAGTAGGGGAATAAATTCAAGAGTTTTTTTCCTCTTACCTTTTTAAGTAACCGTACAGTTGTGTAAAGAATGAATTAAAAAGATGTCGTACAGTCAAAAGAAAACAAAAAAAAACTGAAGAAATTCTCATCACTAAAACTTATTTCACAGGGATGATTAAATAAAAAGAATTATCTTCAAAATTTTCTCCACCAAAACTAATGATCATCTGTGCAAATTTCTCTCTAGTGTGTTGCATTCACTTTTACACAAATGTCCTTTGGAAAGACATTACTCTTTTCTCCCATAGCCATGAAATTAAATAGCAAGAGAAGACAACTCTAAAAAGTCATGACAATTCACAGAAAATAAAGAAAAATATGTGGAGTTATTTATGATCTCCTACATCCCAACAGAACATGGCATTTAAAAATTTTTTTCCATCTATGTATCTGAGTGGTTCGGGGTGCATGTGGACCCTGAGAGTCCATGTAACATTGCTGGGGCCCACACAAAAAAATAGCAAATTGGAGATCTAGTCATATTTTAGTAGTGTACAGAGCAATTTCACTTCATGAGTTAAGTTAATAGTTAAATAAATAATCCATAGAATTTAGTTGTTAAATACAAGCTATGTTTGTTGTCAATATAGCAAGGATGGATTAGCTGTGTAAAGTCACTAGTTGTTAGTTGTGCAATTTTTACATTTTGTTTCTGGGTATGTTACAATGGCTACATCATCAGAGAATGGACAAAATTAATTCATAAGCTCTTATTTTGGTTGATTTTCCATCTTTTTATCTACAGATCCACTTGAAAAGGCCACTTGCTTCTCATTGGCTTGTGACCTTATATCCTGATTGTAAAAGTTTTCTGATTGGTTCATTGAACTATGGCTTTGTTTTCCTGGCAATTTTTATTATCCATCTATTTTAAAGATGGTGAAATTCTGGTCTTCTTGCTATTTATTTTTATTTATTTATTTCTCTATAACCAAAATATGAATTCTAGCTAAAAATATCATTAATATTCATTGAAGCTATCGTTTTTCATCATTTCTTTTTAGCATATCTACTGGCCTGATCATTTAATATCAAAGATCCTAATCAAAAGTCAAACCAAGAAACATTCAAAAGCTGTTAAAAGTTACCAAACTTTCAAGCCTCACCAAAACTCTGATTATAATGCTATTGGAGAATTCTGGGATAGGGAAATTGTAGTGAATGATCTATATAAATTAGCCAATGACAGAGAAGTGGCTATCTCTAATGCATTCTTGGATAGAGATGGCAGCTTTCTGGAAAGTAAAGTAAAAAAAGATGCACTGCCATTTTGGGGTGATGAAATTTGGAACAGAGAAAACTTAGAAGAATCTCACAAACACAATATTGGTATTTTCAAAAGTAGAAATAAATTTCAAAATCAGGCTGAAAATTCTCTGTTGCCCAAATCTTTGGCAACAATTAAAGAAGAAGCATTTTTAAAAATGCCACTCTTTCAGGATTATGGTCACAAAGAATCAGCCTCCTCATTTCTCAAAAAAAGGTCCTTAGATCAGGAAAAGAAATTAAACATTTTAACTGAAAAGTCAAAACTGAAGAATTTGTATTTAAGTAGAAAATTGAGTAACATTCATGGAAGTATTGGCCTGAACCAAGATAATCTGTGGCAAAATACTTCCTTGACTAAGAACAACATTGTTTTAAATAAAATTAATTCAAATAATTCCCAACTGGTTCAACAGCAAACAATTCATCATAATGATTTTAGAAATTCAATTTGGAATAAAGATTCTTTTAAATGGAACCTTCCAAGATTTAATTCAGTTCAACTAGATTTTAATCTTCCAGTTCCTCAAATACCAAAATATATTTTAACAAAGAGAACCAGATTTACAGAAAATAAAGATAAAGCATGGTATGAAATAAGAGAGGCAAGACCGCCATTAAAAATGATGTGGAAGCCAAAAAATTCTAAACTAGAAGAATCCAGAATCAATAAAATTTATCAGGGTCGGTCAAAAGATGATCCAGTCACAGATTACAAAGTGAAAATCAAAAGCAACTTTAAAGAACTGCCAAAAATGGAAGAAATCAAAGAAACTCAAGAAAATAACAATGGATATAAAAAAGAAGAAATGGTAAATATATTTTTATTTCAGTTTTTTTTATTTTTATTTGAAATCTTTTGTGTCTGTATATGTGTGTGTGTATTTTAAAACAAAGAATGAAAGAGAAGAAACATTGACTTGGCAGTGACAACAGTAGCATTTGTTAGTCAGACAAGATGCAAAAAAAAACAAGAAAATAAAATTAACAAAAAGTGTCATTCAGTATATACTTAAATACACCAGACAGTTTTTCGAAAGAGGCAATTTACAAATGAATGTTATCAGCTGAATATCTGTTGCATGGGGTCTCATGGTTGACAGTCTTGAGGCGACCATAATAAAGTTGTCTTGGCTGGGTGATCGCTAGTTGGTTTATTCAGAGGTAAAATGAGAACTTCAACAAAAGGCATTTTGACTTACTACTTTATTAAACATGTCAATGTGTACATTTTTAACTAGCCAGTGGGGTTGCTTTTTCACTCCCACTGGGGAGCAAGTTCCTCACACATGAAATTAAAACGTCTGCATTCTTCAATGCATAAAACTTAACTCCTCAAAAACTCTAACATTCCCATGTTTGGCTCAGCCAGTTAAAATCAACATCCCTAGTTTGTCTACTAGCTGACCCCAAGGTCAGCCTCAGAAGGTCTGAGCCAAATACACTGCCACTAAAAAATAACAGTCTGAAACAATTATTAAATTTATATTTCTGTCATAATGAAGTTCTTGTGACGCAAAAAGTTATCTCCCCTTATATTTGCCAAGTAAAAAGTAAAATCAAAATTTGAGTATTTTTCCATAAACTGGCATAGGATCAGTTTTGTTTTTTCACATCATATTAATATTCTGTTTTTTACAAATATGTTCACCCTGAACAAGACCTGATAACCATTCAAAGTAGAGGGTACTGAGTAAACGAATAAAAGGCACAGCTTATGCAGATATGTATGGAAGATAACAGTTAACCCTAGATTTGAACAGGTTAAGATTGTAGTAATTAGTGAAGCAACCTCTTGGTAGTGGATTCCACAAGACAATGAAAGAAGCTGCTTGAGTGGAACTTATATCTTTCCAGGGGAATACAAAGTGAATGAGGGTGATTCACTACAATTTGTGTGGCATGGCAGGGCTTAGCCATGAAGATTAGAACTCCTAGTTTTAGTAAGTACTATTATTTGTAAGAAAAACAATAATTCTGGTAGTTTTAACTTTAGTCTTTAAAATTGAAAAAATACATTCATATTCATTAGTGTCTTTAACACTCAACCACATAAGATACATTAAATCACCTGATGAATGGTAACAGCAATCATCAGCAGCAGCAGCAGTATCTTTCAATCAAGTCAAATGCTCACCTGCTAGTTTAAATTTCTCTTGTAAGACATGCATAAAAGAGAATTTTCTGCTTAAATACACAAATTTTTGTCTATTATAAACATATATAACCGTAAGTTCTATGCTAGCAATTTCTTCTATCGCACTTGTCACTTGTGGAACTCTTTTCCAGCTCCATGCTTTCCAGCCAACTTTGATCTTCAAAAATTTAAATGCAATGTCAATTGTTATCTTCTGTCTTCTTAATTACTATTCTTTTAATTGTCTTCTCTCCTTAATAGTATATTTTTTTTATATTCTGTAAGATTCAGTAACCCCTTGTGACTTTGTGGCTTTATTGCCTTGCTCGGAGGCAAAATGACCTTAAAAAGAAAGATAAAAAAGAAATTGGTTATTTCATGTGGTATAATAGTTAGCATGCTTGTTTTGCATGATCAGTTATGACTGAGTAGTGAGTTCAATCCTCACCGGATGCTCTACACTTGTAGCTTTGTGCCACATCTAAGCTACTCTTAGTAAATTATTATAGAAGCATTTTTGTGCATTCGCATAAAGAATAGAAAAATAAAAACAAGTGGAACTTTACCAGAACGTACTTTTTAGTCAGTTTTTCTTTTGAGAAAGGCAAATTTTCCTCCTTTTCCTGTTACAACAATTTGCACCACATTATCATATATGAAAATACTCAGTAAGTTTTATGAACATATTGATAACATCAAAAAAAATAACTGTTTATTTCTTTCTTAGCAACACTTTTATTTTTGGTTAATATTTAAGTGTCAACTTTTTTGACTATTTATTCTGTGTATTTTGTAATGCAATTTCACCATTGACAAATTATTAGTTTTTTGCCAAACCATTTTCCAATCTATTAAAAATATAATAAACTAATAGATGATTGTATTCTATTTTAATATTATAAATACCAATCAAACAAAATATTTCAAAATTTCATTTACATTACAAATTTATTTTCTGAGGAGTTTCAAAATCCATCCATATGTTTTGTTACCTTTTGGACAGATACACAATTAAGCTTCACAAAAATAATTTTTTTAATTTCTAATGATTTAGGATAAAAGTAAATACGCAATATGGTAAATACTACTTTTTAATATTAATAAATGTATACGAAATTTTTCAGAAAGAAACTGATAAACGAATATACCAGTCATACTGGGATGCTGTTAAATTATTATTCGAACAAAAAAGCAATGGAAATTTTAGTCTTTTAATTTATGGTAAGTTCATTTTAATTGAATTATTTCCCTTTGTACCAAAACATCTCCATATTTCTTTTTTTAAAAGAAGTTCAAGTTTGTTTCAGAATATAAAATGCTTTTTCTTTGTTCCTTTATGGAGAAATTTTACTTTAAGTGAATGAATCAAATTTATAAAAAGTAAATTATTTTTATAAAAAAAACTTTATAAAAGTCTTATAACAATAAATATTATTATATAGTAAATTTCATTTTTATATTTTTCTGATTTTATTTTAAATAAAATATTTTCTTGTAAATCAGTCACTTTTATTTCTATGTAATTATTGAAATATTAACAGAATCTACGTTTTTATTTATTCTATTTTTATTTATTTTTTTATTTATTTTATTTATTTATTTTTTTTTTTTTTTTTTGGTAATCAAAATTAACTAAAACATTCTAGTTTTTTTTTAATCCTTTATTACCTAAATTTACTTGATTTAATTAAACTATTGATAATTTTGTTTTCACTTATCAATAGATACATAAAATTTACAGATTTTTTTCCCCTTTCATTCACTTACAGGTACCAAACATCTAACACTATTAACAGCAAAGACTGGCCTTTTGTATCCACATTCAACTATTCTCAATATTGTACCCAAATTAGATGCACACTTTGCTGATATGTACAGGTGCATCTAGGAAACCTTTTTTCTTTTTTTCTTTTTTTTTTTTTTTACTGAAATTCTAGAAAGTCTTTCACCAGAAGTAAATTCTTTGAATATATTTTACTTATTAAGGATCACTAGTTTCACAAATTAAATCTTTATTATATAGAACATTTATGATGTAGTAATCTAATGTAGATGGATACAGTTGTAGATTGGCCAGGGTGTCACCTTGCTTTATGGCAAGTGGGCCCCCTATATCAAATAAAAATATAATAAACAAACACTGCCTTAATAATAAAAAGGAATAAGAAATTTATAGAGCCATAGAGCATTTATAGAGTCGAATGTGAGAGGACATTTTCAAATCTAAAGATAATATAGACAAGGTTAAGAAATTTGCTGTTTGAAGAGAATTTGGAATCATACATGTTGCTATCCATTGAACAGGAATTGTTAAATGAATTGGATGCAGAAGCAATGATTGACAGATTCACACAATTATCTGTTGAACACAAATGATTGCTCTTAATATAGTGGATTGCATGCAATGATCTGTTGTGCTTTTGAACTATCTGTTAATGTGTAAATTGTGCAGTAAACTATTTAAAATATCTCCCAATTAAAATTTAAACAAATAAATAAAAATTAAGTCATAACATTCTGTATTTACATTTGGTATCTACTGCCAGGAATATATACAGTACATGTACTCTGTAATTACTAAGTAACACACATTTTATCCACAAACATTTTTTATTGTACCCTTTTTTCCATATGTATTTTTTGAAAATTTTATATTTTCATTATGAAAATTAAATGATAGTATTGTAGTTGTGGGTGGGCCTATTTTGTCTCCTAGCAACCAATATTTTTAAACCCAGTCTGCCACTGGATAGTTATGTTGATAAAATAGTTACACCCCTTTTCTTTTTTTTTTTTTCAACATCAGGTAATATTAGGCAAACTTCATCATGCTTAGCAAATTCTCAGTTTGGTACCATATTTCATGCTTATTATATGCTTAAAATATAACCCTAATGAGAGAAATTTCAGTTACTAATGCTTAAAATGTTGCATTAAAAATATCTGAGGTGCTTACAGCTTAATTTTTGGACTAACCTTGTTATATAAAAAAAAAAAAAAAAAAGCAAGTAAATGTAGAAAGTGGAATTGCCAATCAAAGTTGAAATTAAATTTTCACTGTTCATCATAAAAAGAACCTTGTCATTGAGATAAATATCTCAACTTTCATTCTGAAAGTCATTTAGATATTTCATTTACTTAACTTTTTCTTTGCTTAACATAAAACTACAATTTGCTTACTTACTGATTTTCTGCAGTGATCACTGATCTGGTTTGATGCGGCTAAACCAACAAGGGGGGTAAAAAATGATCACGACACAGGTCTATCAGGTGTAGGTAAGAGTTATGTTCTCCTGAATAATTGGCTATTTCGAAAAAGGCAGACTTTCAACAGATAGCATTAATACTAAATTTGCATGTAAATTGAGATACTTGGTTCTCAATAAATCATAGCTGATCTTTGGTTATAGCCTACAGATATCTAAGTGCAATGTTTGTCAATGTTGAGACATTCTGTCGGTGTTAGAAGAGCACTTTTCATATATGTTGGACACTCCCATCAATTTAAACATTGAGGATCTGGCAACCTCATTCATTTTTTTTTTGTTTGTGTCATATGTGACACCGCCATCTCACTAGTGACGTGACTTGCATGCAAGTACACATATTGTGTAACAGTGAGGCTCTAGGCTGGTTTGAATTCAGAGTTTTCCTTCCCCTAGAACAGTTGACATTCAAAGCTATAGAACCTAATTTGTCCTGCTATTTACTCATAGCTGGGGGGGGGGGGAAGAAATAATCATACCTTTTCCAAGGGTATTAGCATGTAAGTGACTGTAATGAATTTGGCTGGAATTCAAACTTGGCTCACCATTTCCTCAATTTGAACCGCAGTTCATTATTCCACCATGCCTCCATTGTTGAGACTTCATGTTGGTATTAGTTACCAGTTAAGAGAGCACTGTTCACACAAATATAAGTGGAAAAAAGTTCTTATGTTACGAGTTTTGTCCTTTAGGACTTCATCGAACTAAATTTATCTTTATGTTGATACAACTAAACATGGGCATGAAAGAAAGGGGGACATTAAGAATTTTTTTTTTAATTTAATATATGGATATTTTGAATGAAAAGGAGAAATACATAGAAAATACTTTTAAGCTCCTCCAATACTCAAATTATTTCATCTTCAAGGTGAAACAAAAGACTTATAAAATATTTAAAAATAGAAAAGCAGTCATTTCTGACAAACTCATCAAAAAAATATATTATTAAACTCATTAACTCTATCACAACTACAATTGAAAAGAATTTATCTAAACTCAATATAAAATTTTTCACAACTACATCTAAAACAATAAAAGACTTAATTAATGCAAAACAAAATAATAAGCTAAAATTTGAAGGATTTACTCTATTACCTGTAATTATTGCCTCAAGGAATACATAGGAGAAACCTCAAGGAATTTGAATAAGAGATTATATGGACACAAAAGGGATCATTTACAAAACAACACATTAAATGCATTTGTTTCTCACCATAATGAGACTAACCATTTTGATTTTGAAAAATGCTATAATTAAAAGAAAAAACAATTTACTAGGACAAAAATGTTTAGAAAGTGTTTTAATCACTAGATCTGCCACAGTAAATTTGCATCCAGATTCTTATGTTTCACTATTTTTGGCAGATTACTTATCACAATGTTGGATACTTATTAACAAGAGTGATGGAAACATAAACAAAAAGAATCTAAATGAAATCAGATAGATTATATACACAAAACATATATTAAGTTAATAAAAAAATTACATTTAAAATCCACAGCATCCCTTTTCCTTTGTGTGCAGATATATTCACATCAATGTAAATATAAATTTAGTCCAATGAAGTCCTAAAGGACAAAATGTGTCACACAAAAACCTTTTCCACATTGTCATAATTCTTTCCCTTAACATTGTTTTTGATATATAAGAATTTATATAACATTTTTCCATTTATTTATATATATATATATATATATATATATATATATTATCACTTTAAGCATTAGTTTTAGTGGATACTCATATTTGAGTAGATGCTCTGTTTATTTATTAAACAGTATAATATTATATATATTTATTTTATCTACCAGCCTGAATATTTGAGAAATCTTATTAAAGAAAAAGTATGTACTCTCCATATAAAATAACATTTAATGTGATAAAATCTGTCAGATTAATAAATAAAAGATCCATTACTTCTTTAGAACTTGTATGTATATATATATATATATATATATATATATATATATATATATATATATATATATATGTATATGTATATAAAAAGAGAGAGAGAGTTAATGAAGTTATTTGGTAATCCGTATGGATAATTCCATGGAGGATGTAATCCAGAGAGCTCAAATTTTCTCGTAGAATAAGTTTACAAAACAACATTATTATTATTATTATTATTATTACTTTTGTTTTTTTAGAAAAGATTTTTTTTAATTTTTAATTGTTAGTTGTCATTATTAATATTAATAATGTTATTATTTTTATTATTGTTGGTATTCTTTAAAATAATGTCAAGTGTTTTAATTGTAAATTGTATTGATCTATATGATAATTTGTTCTCCCCACCCAACACACACACACACACATCTGTTTCCCTATTTGTTTTCTATTCTGTCTTATCTCTTTTTTTTTTCTTCAACTTCTTTTCTTTGTCTAATTTCCTTTTTCCTGTGAAAAGACTTGATAAATAGATCAACATGTCTGGTTACTTACCTCACCACCTTTCCCCATATGGATCTTTATACAGATAGATATAAACATCTTCCTATCTCTCCTTTCCCTCTATAATTTCGATCACATATGTATCGTCTTCCTCCTCCTCTTTATATCACCTCATACCAACTTAAAACTGCCTCCTCAAATACATGTCTGCATAAATTAAAAATAATAATATGTAAGCCTGGAAAAATTAGCCACCCATATTTTTGTATGAAGATGGAGATCTGAAGAATTAGGAACAAAATCCTGGTCCTAAGGAAATAAATTATAATCCCATGAACTCTTAAAGTTTTGTTTCTTAATATAATTATATATATATATATATATATATATATATATATATATATATATATATATATATATACTCGACTCTCCCGTTGAATTCGACGTATGAGAGTCAAGCAGATCATTCAAGTAAACCGACAGCCCAACAACAGCACATGAGATTTGATTATAGTGGTGAAGGTTTCGTGCAGGACCATCCACACTTTTTGAAGGGCCGAATACAGTTTTTTTTTTATTCAGAGTTGTCCTTCTCCTAGACCAGTTGCCATCCAAGGCTGTAGAACTCAGTCTGTCCTGCTATTTACCCATAGCTGGATAGTATTAGCACGTAAATGTAATGGATTCGACTGGAATTCAAATTCAGCTCTCCAATTCCTCAATCCAAGCCACTTATCCATTATGCTACCGTGGCTCCTCTATGACTACTTTTGCAACTGTTCATTCAACTTGCTTTGACTCAAATGACAATTTAAGTCATAAACATTTGGCTAAATTTTGCTTATTTTTTTCTTTAGTTATTTAATGCTTTTTACCTCCTGCTATGGTTGAGTCACTTCTATAAAAATAAATATAAAACAGAATCACATAGAAATTAGAATATATCCACATTTGATGTCCTGTAAATATACAGTTGACATACAAGAGGATATGTAAAAATTCTGCAAAGATTTCTTTCCTTAGGCCAGATGTAGGGATTATTCTTCCCACAACCCTAACCTAATAATTGTATTTGAGTGTGTCATAATAATTTTGATATTAGTAAAAATTATGAATCTGCTTAAAAATGTTGTTTCTTATTGGATAAACATGTAATGTAAATGAAGCACACTGATTTATATATTTGAACTGGAATTTATCTTTTTTTCTCTTAGAAACATTTTACCTCCAAATGTCCTTACTGCTATCAATGATTTGGATACACAAATTATTAACACCATTTCTCATCTGCCAAACTTGCTCACCTTTCAGGTTAGTATCTGTCTGAATTACCACCATTTTATCTTCATTCTTCTTAAATTTTACTAAAAATAAATTTTAATCTTTTTGTTTACCAAGTTGAATTTTCATTATTTTTCAGATTCTTGGAATAGAAATATTTGCCAAAATTCTTTGGTTAAACGAAGGTTTTATTGTGTATTTGGGTAAAATCTTAAGCTTGGCCCAGGTAACTGTATTTCTGGTTCCAAAACCAGAACAATTCCTTTTAGCACAAATCATTCTTGGGAATATTAATGGCACTAAAGAACAAAATCAAGATTTTAGCTTCAAGGTAAGACCTAGAATTTTATATATTCATATGAAATTATTTGTAAAACATTTGTTGATGTTTTAAGTGATGTTTAGTTTAATAAATGAACCTACAGTGAGATTAAGATTCTTTTTTTTTAACCTGGAAATTTTTACATATTTAGTTTGAATGAAATGCATAATGTTGCTAACATAACAAACCTAGAAAATTAATAACAAAATATGGAAGTAAATGAAAATGTTTTAGGCACATTATGGAAGACTTTTTCTCACTTCTTCATGATCTATAAGAGTTTACATGTGATTTTATTTTCTTATTCTACTTTTCTTTTTAGTGGAGGGACAAAGAATAAAAAAACATGTTCAGTTTGTTTGTTGTGGAATCAATGAATTATGACTTCACTACACAAAGTGTAGTACCTGTAAGTTGGGCAGGATCTCTTCAGAGTATCAGGGAATTAAAATAGGATTGTCCATGAAAATGTGATTAAAATTTTGTAGCATTCACTGTGCTATAAAACTCCATTCTGAATTGTGATGATAATCTTGATAAACAAATGTTTTAGATTTCTTTCAAATTCATTATTGTCTTCTTACTGGAACAATTTTAATTAAACTTCCTTTGTTAATTCTTTAAATACTTATGATGAATAAAATTTAACAACACAAAATAACATCTCTACTAATTCACTAGAACATTATCTAATTCATATATTCTGTGCACTTTACTATTTTTCAAAGTGTTGATGTCAAAGTTTTTTTGCAAAATATTAGAGAAATTGGCATTAATTAAATAAACGGGTCCACTTGTAAAAATAGGGAAAATTTGGTTGGGAAATAATTTTTGTAAATTAGTATTCTTTTGACCTTCCTTAAGTCGTGGTACTTGTTAGAATAAAAGAAAATATTGATGTGTTATCAATTTAGAAAGGGATCCTATTTATAATATTGATACAGTGTCAAATCGATCCCTGACTTTTACAGAGCTATTGGCCTTAAGTCACTTAGCTGTTATTTACAAATGTCATTTGAAACTGTGCTAACATCATTTAACATCTGAATATTCATTTTAACTTTATAAATTTTTTAACCTTTTTAATTTTATTAATTTATGTATTTTTATTTTTTTAATTAAAAATGGATAAATCTGTTTATTCATTATTTAAAAAATCATTTTGTAACCCTTCACCTTAAAAAAAAAGGATTTTTGTAAGCAAAACTGCTATGATCAGTAACTCTATAAAAGAGTTACATTTAGACATGTGTTCATTTTTGTTGTTATTATCACAACATTTTAACCATTGTTTCCTCCAGCCATTGGTATCCTCCAGTGACTCAATTCAATGTCTAATAAATAAAAGTGAATAGATGATGTTCTTGTCACTTGGCATCTTCCAAAGCTTGCCTAGACGTCTTGGCTAACCTGATGAATATTTATGAGCATTCTTAAATTTTAAAATTTTGTCAAACCAATAACTTTTTTGCTTGTGTAAATACTTATTACAAAATAATAATCTGATAAAATCTATCAGATGACAAAACACGTCAGCTAATTTAAGTCTTCCTTTTCTCTTTATTCATATTGTCCTTTTATAGATATACTCTATCTGAAATTTTACCTACATATACAAAGTGCAATGGGTAAATTTTCGTCATTTTATATTTTTAATTTCACACATGCACAGTGTTTGTTTTTGACTTTGTCGTCTGCACAGTATAGTAGAGTCAGTTGGGCACCATCTTTGAGAAAAAGAGCACCATGACACAATTCACTCCACCAGAAATTTGGAAATGGCATACTGTACTGCTTGGCATTCATGCCCAAAAGCGCCAATATGAACATTTCAGGGTGTTTGGGTGTCAATCTGAGAACAGTGCAGAGGATTTGGAAAGAGTTGGATGAGTCTAATGGTGATTACAAAGGTATGGCAACTCGGAAAACTCTGATCATTCTAAGAAAAGAACTCACAAATTTGTTGATGAGGGCCTCAGACTCAACACAGAGGCCTACATCAAATGCCTTGAGAAGGCAGTGCTGCCCTGGATCAAGAGGGTGGCTGCTGGAAGAAGACCCTGTGTCTGGCAACAGGATTCTGCAACATACCACACAAGCAGGAGAACCCAGTCATGACTGTTAGACAATTTCTGCCGCTACATCACCCCTTACACCTAACTCCCCCTTGATTATTATGTGTGGGGCGCAGTTGAGCAAGAGACCAACAAAACTCCTTGTAACACCAAAGATGAACTGAAAGCAAGGATTATAGAACCACTCACTAACTTAAATAAAGTGACCATCCAGAAGAGTTGAAGTTTTCTGGAGGGCATGGTTGAAGCAAATGGCAATTTTATTGAATAAATTTACTCTTTAGTATTTCGAGATATTTTTGTGTAATTTTGGTAAATATATCTGTTGAAATGAGATGTCAGTGTTATTTTCATTTTTATGTAATATACACGACAATTTATCTATCGCAACGTGTGTGTGTATATGTATATATATATATATATATATATATATATATATATATATATATATATATATTTATATATTGTTGTTTAAACCTTGCACATTTATACATGCTTGTCCTCAAGAGGCTCTGAAAAGCAAAGATTGAAACTAATTAGCCCTGTTTTTTGTTATATTTCTTTTTCTTTCTTGCTTATTGTTGAAATTGTTTTCATTTCCCCTCTTTAAAGTGACATTACTATCCTTTCTCTTTTTCCCTCTTTTCCTTGCTTGTTTATATTTTGTACATTTGTAATTATATTATTTTTATTGTTTTGCATGTATTTTAACATGTCTAGGTTTACAGCAATACTAAATTGTTAATATATAAGCAGAAACCATTCGAATGTTTCTCTCTTTGGGTAGAATCTGATTCTCAAAGCAGCTGCTACGTTTGGAGGAGAATTAAACATTGAGGTTATTAAAGATGATGATTTGAGTGAACTCCTGATTTTTGTGGAACTGAAATACCTCAAAAAAGAAGTAAGTTTAAAAAAATAAATATCCATTATTTTATTGCTAGCAACATTCATATCATTAATTTATTTCATGCTTTTGTAAGACAATTCTAAAAAAAATCTACTGGTTATACCTCACCTGATAAAAATTTGGTTAAAACTGATTTGGACATTTAAAAAATAGTTTTTATTTTATTAACTTCATATTAAGTTATATTTTTAATATTTTGCAAGCATCTAAACTATTGCTTTACTTTTTTCTCATTTTAGCTCAAAATATTATTTAAATAAGTGCATTTTTTTCTATTTGTTTTAAGTAATTTGGGATTTTGATCAGTATTCAAGTTACTCAATTTTTGTGTAAGAATTCAAATGCAAATTGCTTAAATTCTGTTTTTTGTTGTTTTTTTTTTTTTTTTTTTTTGCTTGGTTCTAATAAAGAGAAAAGAAGGACATTTTCATGTAACTGAATTAGCAGGGTTAGATTTTTTTTAATACACTATAAAATAATGTATTTTTTGTTTAATTTTACTCCCCCTTCCCTCAATCCAATTGCTTAAGTCACACTGTCATCAGTAGTGGAGCTGCTTAAGATTTAGTTACTCATAAAAAAGAAAGAAAAATTTGTGTATGTACCAATAAAATAATACCTTCCTTTAGTCACATAAAACAAAAGAAACAACCTGAAAAATAATGACTCCTCATCTAATACTAATCTTTCTACCAGGACTGGTGTGTACTACCCAACAGAGAGGAGGGCCAACATGATTGAAGACACAGGGTAGTGGTTTGTGACCCTCACTATCTTATCAACATTTGCTTTTTTTCTACCTACATTTATATATGCTACAAATTAAATTAAGCACAATTGTTTTTAGTTTTGTTTTTTACCAAATCTTTGAATTTGTTTTGCTTGTGCTAAGTCCTGAAAAAAGACTATATAAAATTCACTGATTTTTATCTATACTGTTGAAAGTATCAAAATTATTCAACTTTTTAACAAGAAAAATCTCAAGTTGATGTTTAAAATTACCACAAAACATTATTGATTTATTTAAGATGGAATAATCTATTATAATACATCTCTAATTTGTATTAAATACATTGTATTTATTTTCAATTTTTCTTGTTGGATTATTTCCCTATATTGCATATGATCCATTATTGTACGTAATTAGGTTAAGATAAAAGTTTATTTTTTATTTTTGTACAAATAACATGTGTATATGTGATTTGTCATTTATATTGCTGTGAAACTCAATTTGTTATTGTGATACAGCTCAATTTACACAAGGTCAGCAATGATGCAGGCTTTCATGGAAAAATTTTGTCACTTCCACTGTTCTAGAAAGTAATGTCTGACATTGCATGAGCCTAATAAATAAAAATCCTATCTCATTAAATACATGCACTCATTCCCTTCCTCTGCATCTGAAACTTGATAACAAATTTTTATATAGGAATAAAGTGTTGCTGCCGACAATGGAGTTTGAACACAGATCACCAGTGAGCAAACACGGGTAATTCCATTTCTAATAAGTGGACCACATGATCGTGAAGGAGATGTATATATGGGAATTGGTGTGGCGTCTAATTGATCAACATTTCTATTCTATCCTCTATTACTATTCGGATCACTATTTCTACACTATCCTCTAATGCTATACAGATCGCTATTCTCTTCTCTACACTATTCTCTATACTGATCACTATATGGATTACTATTTCAGATCACTATTTGGTGGTTACTATTAGTATGAGCTTTATTTGAAGGCGTCTGACACCAGTATTGTTCAACAGCGTTACTATAGTTGTATATGCGATTACAAAGTCTCTACTACAAACAAACATTGCAAAAGTGACAACAAGTATTCACTGACATTACAAAAGTACCAACAAGTGTTCATTGACATCACAAAACAAATGAAACAGATAACATCATAAAGTAATTTTTCTACTGTGCATCTAAATAGGTATATGACAGCTAGACCCAGTTTCTTGGACACAATTCTCCTGCACCTAAAAAAAAGGTCATATCACTCCAAGGTAAAATATCCAATCTCTGGGAATAGTATAAAACATATTTTTTGTTTTTTTTTAAGCACATTCTTTGGATAAAATAACATTTGTCAAGCTTCTGAGATCTATGTTAGTTATAGAGCTAGCAAACAAATAGATGAAAAAGAAGATAGATTTTGTTGTGGTAATTTAATAAAAAATAAGATCTTGATAGACAGTTGTCGGTATAACAGGAGAGAGCTATGGAAGAAAGGTATAGTTTTTTATTTATTTCCTTCTTTATAGGCATTATTCTATCCATGATATAACAACACCATAATTTATAGATGGAACGGAATGGCTGAAAAAAAAAAGGAATGAGAAACATGCTTTGTTCTCAGAGAGACTTTTATACCATTAAGACATATACAAAACTATATATATATATATAGATATATATACATATGTTCCACATGGAGAATAATATATACACAGCAAGCATAATGTAAGGATAAACAAAAAGGAAGGGTCTTATAATATGGGTGTTTTTCTGTGTTTCTGGAGAAGCCATGTTTAGGACTCCAGACTCAAGCAGGCCAGATTCATCTATGTCCCAGACAAGGACATATTTTCACAAAGGGGAAACAGCAAGTCTTGGGTTTTTCCAAATTGTGGACTGTGAGTCGGAGTTCCTTTCTATATCTGGGAAAGATATATTCTCAAAAGGAAATGACACCATGGACTTTTAAGCTGCTGAGGAGGCATATTTAGCCTCAGCCTAGGTCCCTTAGCACAAGCTAAAAAAGCAACCACTCAGTTTGGCTTTGTAAACAAACTAAATGACTGTCCACTCTTATCACTGTATATAGTGATGTCGCTTAGCAGCTTTCACATGACTTACCTCACCAAAGGGAGATAATCGCTTTCTGTGTCCCCTACACTGGTATTAAATGCCAACAAATAGTAAGTTTAATTCTTCTTTTTTTCTTTTAACCAATGAAGGTGATTGTCGACTGTTCCCCTGGAAAAGGAATCTTAATTTTAGAGTCTCTATCATCTGCCACTGCATACATTCAGACAACCAACTCGGTGATTTTCATTGATACAAGAACAATAATGCTTTCTTTTTTATTGGCTTTCAAACTCCAAGCTGCTGACAAGTAAGTTGAAAATTATTTTTTTTATTCAGGTGAGAGAATAGAGGCAAAATAATAATAATAAGAAGAAGAAGAATAGAGGCAGAATAAATAGTGTAAATTACATCACTGCAGCTTTGGCATTGCAATGTTTGTGAAGAAAATGTTTTAAAAATCTATAAAAATTAAGTAAAATTTAGTAAAATGAACAAATTAGATGCAAATTATGGTGGACAAAATTATTAGAACAAACTCTATTAATAAGTTTTAGACAAAATAAAATCCTTTTTATTGAAAATTATTAATAAGATATGATATCCTTTACTGGGTAGAGACCAAAACAATTAAAGTGATAAAAATATGTCTAATTAATAAATAAAAATCCATTATTTCTTTAGAAATTGCTTTGTTTTACAGATACAAAACTGAGCAGTTATGAACTTTCAGGAATATAAATAAGAAAGATATGTTTAAAGGCAATATTGAATCTTGCTTAATCACAATGTTCTTTGTAGCCAAATTGGTTAAAGCAAGTCAGCTCTAATGACAGTTTCTCCTGCAAAGGGGACATATCTGAATCCTACCAAAGGGCACATTTTTCTTTTAATACAATTTCTCAAATTTTTCAATTAAATTTCAAATAGAATTTAACATATTTCTGTTAAATAGTTGCACATATCCTTGTGTGTAATACTCTGTCCATGCATTTAGAATATCAAGTAGTTTGGTTTGGTTTGTTTTGTTTTATGGCATATCAATCAACCTCAATGGGTTATTTAATGCCAACATTTTTTTTTTTTTGGCATGAATGCCAAGCAGTACAGCATGCCATTTCCAAATTTCTGGTGGAGTGAATTGTGTCATGGTGCTCTTTTTCTCACAAATGGTGCCCAACTGACTCTACTATACTGTGCAGACGACAAAGTCAAAAACAAACACTGTGCATGTGTGAAATTAAAAATATAAAATGACGAAAATTTACCCATCGCACTTTGTATATGTAGGTAAAATTTCAGATAGAGTATATCTATAAAAGGACAATATGAATAAAGAGAAAAGGAAGACTTAAATTAGCTGATGTGTTTTGTCATCTGATAGATTTTATCAGTTTATTATTTTGTAATAAGTATTTACACAAGCAAAAATGTTATTGGTTTGACAAAATTTTAAAATTTAAGAATGCTCATAAATATTCATATTTCTGGTAATATTTTTTTTCCTCAAAAATGTATAACTGGTAATATTATTTTCAAAAACGTATTGCTGGTAATATTTTTTTCTTTATTTTTCTTTTTTTTTTTTCCAAAAATATATTGTTGGTAATAGTTTTTTTTTTTCTTCAAAAATTTGTTTCTGGTATTAAAACCTATTTTTACACTTTTATAATGCTTTTTACCTCAGTTTCAGGGTTAAGTATTTGCCCATAGCTGAGATCCTAACATGTGCTACCACCCCGGGTCAGGGTGGACCTGGGAACACCTGCGATTAAGAGGTGGTTCCACACTCCTCAAAACCTCCTGATTAGAGGTTTTGCTGTTGGACGTAGTTTATCGTCTTACCCTGGACGCAGATGTAGTTTATCGTCATACCCGGAATGGCATATCAAGTAGTCTGAGTTGAAGTTGTATCATAAAAACATTTCCCACTGTCTAGTCTATTTTTAGTTGCATGAAAACTTTTCACTCAAAATGTTCTCTGTAAAACCCCCTGAACAATTTCTGGAATATAAAATGTTGTATTTGCACTTTATCTGCTTTCTTCTTTACCTTTTTCTTTGTGAACATGTTGAATATTTTGACAAGGCCAACTTTTCATTCCCCTACCCTACTTCAACCTTCCACAGAGTCAAGACAATAGAGTGGATCAATAAATCTGTAGCCTGACATGTAGTTATTAGCTGAATTTTCATCTGAAATTATTACTAATGTTTGATCTACATGATTTGATATTCACCACTTAATTCCCTTCCTTGTTAATGTATTTAATTATGTTGAAAATTGACTTTTTTCTTTCTCTCTAAAACTTATAGGAGGCAGCTATTCCTGTGTTACATACAACTCACAATTTACAAAGACATGTGTCCTCATTTGATTTTCTGGAGTTCCCAGGGTCTATCACATTCTCACCAACAGACAGAGACGGCTCAGCAATTCCTATCAGATTCAAGCTTAAATGTAACTTTTGTTTTTCTTCAACATTCTACACGCAATGTTGATTTGGCTTTAGAGTTACTTATAGCTTTGTTTCTGGAGTTTATCAAAGTGTCAAACTTAATACATTGGAAATTGAAGTTTTAAACACATTCAATTTTGTTTTTTCAAATTGTAGCATTGATAGAAAAATATAAATAAAAAATTATTGAGAAAAATACATTTGAGATTTACAACAGTTATTAAAAGAATTGAAAAAAAAGGTATTTAAGATTTTAAATCCAGTTCATCAAGAAAGTTATATTGTTTTCAAATGAAATAGATCAAAAAGATGTTTCAAAATTAAAATAAAAATGAAATCTGGTAAATATATAAGACAATTGTTTCAGCAAACATCATCAGGAAAAGAATTTTATTTCAGAAAAGCAAAATCTACATTCATAAGATAAAATGTGATTCATATTAAGCGACTAAAATCCTGATTTTTATTTTAAATATATCATTATTGAAATTAAATTTTGGCTAATTTTAATTTTTTTCCCTTTTTTTTTATTAATTTCTTCAAGGTTTATGTATCCCACAATTTTTCTCAATATTAATTTAGTATGAAATACTTTAATTGTAAGAGAATTGTACATAAAACTCTTGTAATGCATCTTCAGTAAAATATAGCCATTATATATATATATATATATATATATATATATATATATATATATATATATATATATATATTTATTTATTATAATTTTTATCATATAGACAAAACCATTTTACTCGCTACAAAGATGCAACTTCGCTTCAGTGCATTTCAACTGCACTTCGACAGATGAGAACCAAAAATGGTTATCTATGGTAACCATTTTCGGTTCTCACCTATCAAAGTGCAGTTGAAATGCACTGAAACGAAGTTGCATCTTTGTAGTGAGTAAAATGGTTTTGTCCATATGATAAAATTATAATAAATAATTATTGCTCTACTATCGGTATTGAGCCCTCTTTTGGATTAATGCTGTGAACGTTAGAATTTATATATTACTTTCGTTCTCATAAAAGTGATATTTTCAATGTCAAAGTTGTGATCACAAAGGTTTTGGTTGCATACAAGTGCCTCAAATGTGTTGTTTAATTTTAGGACCATATATTCTTTTAATTGTCAGGATGTTTCACTGATGTATTTGGTGGGGGGGATTGTTTTCATTCTATTTGGTCAATTCTTGTTTCTTACATAAAGTTAGCTTTCTGACATTGATTAAATTTTTAACAGTTTTTGAAGTGTTTATGATGATTTTTATATTGAGATTAGCTATTAAATATGTAAACAAAGACAATTTCTGTAAACTATGGCTAACACTCAACTTGATAGTCAAATATATATATTAACAGTTTTTTATTTAACTCATAGCTGGGGTGGAGGAAAATGGGTTCATACTATTTGTAAATGAAACAAATCTGACTGGAATTAGAACTTGGATCAGCAGTTTCTTATTTCAAACCATTATCCATTAATACCATCCAGACATGATAGATTAGAATATACAAATTTAAAAAATATTTTAAAAATACTTTTGCTAATAAAAATAATAAAATTTAGATAATTTGCTAAATTTTTATTTTTATTTTTTACCAGTCTGTCTGTCATCATATAACTCAAGGATAGCTAAAGTTATGGCCAACAAATTTTTGTAAATAAATTGTATAAATTTATGTGAAACCTGACTTGATATTTTTATTAATCATGCAACCTGGTGTCAGTACTTAGTAATGAGATTATACAAAGCCCCCTGAAAAAAAAAACAGATTCTGTGTTTTTATTTTACTATATGATGAAGCCAAGTTGCTAATATTTTGCTTTTATTATAATCGTTTTAATTTTTAATGATTTAAATACAATTTGATTTGTTACTGTTCAGTCTGAGGTCAGGGGAGGCAACTTTGCTTGGTCCTAATTGATTGTAAAGTTATCAAAATATTGCTGTAGTTTTTTTTAGTATTACTGATAAATTTCTCATATATATGTATATATATTTATGTGTCAAATTCTTTTATGAAAATGAATTTTGTTTTCAATAACAATTTTCAGCTTCTTTCAAGAATCTTCATGGAACAGTTAATGGAATCCTCAGCACCATTTTCATTCTTGGAATATCAATCTGAAGGTATCAGCTCTTTATATTAGTATATTTTGAATAGATTTGTTTTTGTTTTGTTTCAGTCAAAAAAAGCTTTAGTCATTCTAAAATGTCAACCTAATCATTAAGTGACAAACTTTTTTTGAAAAATAGCCATGACTCATGTTGCATTTGAGCTAAGACATCAGCATTTGAAGTTTGTATTATAATTTAAACTCAGTCCATCAATCACTAGAGTTATTTAATATTTATACCCTGAAGAAAGGCATGTCTTTAAAAACTGACATTTGTTTAAAAATGCCCAAATCAAGAGAAATTTTTTCCCATTTATTATGTTAATAAATTTTAATTATGACTGCTGTCATGCCAGTAATTTCCTAAGCATTTTCAGCATCTACGTGTAGGTGTCTGATAAATGGATGAGTGGGTATTTATTTTCATTTTATTTCCCACCCCAAGCTTATTAAAATAATCTCATTTGTTAATTTTGTACTTTCTGATCCCTTGTATGATTTTCCAACCCTCCCCTTTTGTTAAGATTCCCCCCCCATCAATCACATGCACCCTGGAGAGGTCACTACAGTCTTGCCACTCAGCACCTTGCACTGTATTTTAAGAATGTTTGAAAGATTATTGCAGATGATTGCAACAAATAGTGACAGGCATCAAGAGAGGTGATTGACTGAATTGTTTTTTTTTATGGATTATCAATCTTTTGAAGGTTATTTAAAGCTAAAAAATATCTTTGGATTGTAATTCTTTGGAGATATAATGATGATTTACTGATACAAGTCCTACTAATTGCAGTGTGCAAGCCAATAAGCTTTAGCTTATACAGCTTATAGACGTTTACAAGTCCTATATATTTAATATATATATATATATATATATATATATATAAACTAAATTTGGCATTAAATGACCTACAGTGGTTGATATGCCATAAAACCCAACCAACCTAATAATTAACCCATAGTGGGTAGAAAAGATGGATTTATACCTTTCCCCAAGAGTAAGTGAATATAATGAACCTGACTGGAAATTGAACTTGATTCTTCGATTTCAAATTCCAAGCCTTTATCCATTACACCACCCACACATCCAAGCTTACATCACCTGATATTCCTAAGTGGTCACCTATCTAGGTAATGGCCAGACTTGATGTTGCTTAACTTTGGTGATCATACAAGAAGCAGTGTTTCAATGACATATGGTTGCAGGCCTCAAGAGAGGTGAAGACAACTGTAACCATCAGATGAAGATAGAAGATGACACAGACAACAAAAGACAACAAAATCAAGTTCATGTTTCACACAATATTTTTACATGCACTTCTTGCAGGCGAGATTGTCATTGAAGAATTGAATTGTTGGTTCCTTCTAGATGTTGCTCCTTGTGCCACTAGCTCAAATCTTTCAGCAACGTTTAACCTTCATACTCGCAAACGGTATGTCAAAAGGATGGTTATTCCCTTGACACTGCTATTAGTGTAAACACTTTTGACTCCCTCAGCCTGTCCAGGGTATGATGATAAACTACATCCAGCAACAAGGCCTCTGATCAGGAGGTTTTGAGGAGTGTGGAACCACCTCTTAATTGCTGCCATTCCTAGGTTCACCCTGACCCAGAATGGTAGCACCTGTTAGGGTCCTAGCTATGGACAAATAGTTATCCCCCAAACTGGGGTCAAAACACTATGAAAGTGTAAAAATAGGTTTTAATACCAGAAATACTTTGTAAAATACATTTTTTGAAAAAAAAAAGATATTACCAGCTATAGTTTTTTGGTGTTTTTTTGAAAAAAAATGTTACCAGCAATAAAAAAATTGTTGGCATTAAATAACCCATTGAGGTTGATATGCTGTAAATCAAGCCAAACCAAACCAATAGTTATCTAAATTTTTTTGTTTGCAGGCATTTTTATAACTTTATGAATAAAAAAATTTCTATTTATGTTAATTTATTTATAAAATAGTAACTAAAAAATATTTCATCATAGTTGGTTTACATATTTTTAGAATGGTGTAAATATAAAATTATTCTTGTAAATAAGCAATCTAATAAATAGTGTTTAATATTTTTGTGGTCAATTGCCAAGAATAAATAGAATGTATAATGCCATTTTCATATGTTTTGATTTTATTAAAATTCTAATAATTGCTTTTAAAAACCATGAACATTGCCAAGAGAGCCATTAGTGTATACAGTAATAGCAGTGTCAAAGGAATAACCATCTTTTTGATACATCTTTTTTTTTCTTTTTTCTTTCTTTTTTTTTTTCTTTTTTTTGCAGGCACAAAGGTTAATCATTGCCATTCTTTCCATTTCATGTCAGCAGAAATGTTAACCCAAGAAGATATATATGGTGATTTTCTGAGAGTAGTTTAGATATGGCATGAAGCCATAATTATGGGGCACCCAGTGAGGATCAAACTCACTATTCAGATATATTTGATCTAGCAAAACAAGCTTGATAATCATTGCACCACGTTGAGGTGCCTATACACACACACACACACACACACATATAATTTGTGTATTTAGCTAACAAATTCTCTTTTAGGTATGTCTGAATAAATTACAGACATTATGTCTGCTAATTTTTAACAAAATCTGTTCATACTCATGAATAACCTTCCGTGTATTGATATTAAAGGACAAGAGAAATGTGCTATAGCTGTTTAAATTTCTTTTATTTTCATTTCCCAGGTAATGAAGTATGAACGGATTTTGTTAAAAATTAGCAGACATAATGTCTAATTTATTCAATCAGACGTGCCCAAGAGATATATGATATTTTTTTTTAACAGGAAACGGTATTGTATGTAATACATTGAATGCTTTGGGACTAGATGGGGAGCAAGACATATCCTGTCATAGTGCAGCTGAAAAGAAAAAGAATGGACAAGGGTTTATGCCTTTTCCTTTAACATTGCTTTATACAATGCTACCTAGAAGGTATGGTGGGGTAATTCCACATGTTTAAGTGGAAATTAAAATCTCACGCACATAGAGGGCACTTTGATATGGTGTAATGTTTAGCAAGCTTATCCCACAAGACTAGATCAGTTTTTGACTGAGTAGGGAATTTAAACCTTACTACGTGCCCCATCTAAGCTACACTTAGAAAATCATTTGAGCACTTCAACGTAATGCAATGGTTAGCAAGCTTGTCTCACCAGATCAGTTATGACTGAATAGTGAGTTCAATCCTCACTGGGTGCTCCATACTTTTTGGCTTGTGCCACATCTAAACTATCCTTGGAAAATTATGCAGACACTTATGGTGTAATGGTTAGCAAGATTGTATTACTAGATCAGTTATGCTTGAATAGTGAGTTCAATTCTCACTAGGTGCCTCATACTTTCAGCTTTGCACCACATCTATGCTTAGAAAATCGCCACATACAGGGACAGCATGATCTTTGTAAAGCAAAGGGGAAACATTTTCTATAAAGTTATAAGATTTTTGATACAATATATTGTAACTGCTTCTATTATTTGGGACTCATCAATATGCATCTATGTGGCCAGAAATTAAGATTATTCAAATGTTATCTAATATATTCAATTCATATTCATTTTGGTATTGGTTCTTGAGCATGTACTAATTGCCCTATCCCCTCAGTGAATATACAAACACATTTTTATCAAAGTAAATACTTTGTAGCAATGACATTTTTATAATCTATATGTCTTGAACAATAAAATTCTTTTTAAAATCTGTTGGTAGTTGCATAATTAAAAGAAAAAACTTGGAACTACAAGAATTTTTTTTTTAAATCCTTTTTAAATTAAAATTTCAGAGACATTGGGTTGTATATTAATATTTTTGTTTTATTTTTTAAACTAAGTTCCTTGACAAGTTTCAGCCAGTATGGCCATCATCAGGAGAAAAAATTCCTGCTTGTTAGTAGCAGTGAACTACATGGATGAATGACTGTCTCTGAAGAAGGTGAATTTTGCCAGTAGTTTTCATTTGTTTTTTTATTGTTAATTTTTGGTCAGTCCTTGTATTGGTCAAAGGCCTTTTTCAAGTTCTTTTTAAGGAAAGATTGGGCAACTCATCAGTTTCAGATTTATCTCCTTAGTCATTTTGACAGCTTTATTGGTTGCTGGGAAGGGAATGTGTGTGTTATGTGTATGTTATCTTTTATTTATTTATTTATTTTTATTTTTATTTTTTTTGGAGTGTGTGTATGTGTATATATTTGAATGTATGTGAGACACCTCATTTCTGCAAGCATGTCTGTCTAGTGTGGATGGAGGTGAGAAGGGTTAGGGAAGTCAGCTTGGACCCTTTATGGGTGATGTCCACTTCTATGTAGTAACAGTAGAGTATATTCAACTGTGCAGGGATTATAATGTGTGAGATATAAATTTTTTTTTTTTCCTTGTTATTGACAGGATCTCTGATCATCAAACTTGCTCGTTTATTCCCAAACAGCACATTCATTGCAGTCTCACCTGATCATCAGACAGCAACCTCCATCTACCAAGAGGGAGACACAGACAATCTGAAGAACCTGCTAGTCACCAAACATCCCATTGATGATATCTTCACTCTGAAACTTTTAAAAAGCCCAGAATTCTTTCGTTATCAATTTCTGGGCAAGTTAACCAAATACTTATCTAATAAACAGCAAATCAAAATGTTATAAGTGTTGTAGGAAGAATTTTTAAATTTTATTTTTCAATCAATTGTTGCTTAAGTAATAACATTGCACAGGTAGATATATATTTTAATTAAAATCTCTAATTATGGTACACTCAAAAAATGTTTAAACTTTTATATAGCTAAGTTGGTCACAATAGATGCCAGCTAGGAATTAATAGTAGTGTAAACTGGCTTATCTAGCCTTGGTTAGTAATCAGTCTTAGGACAACTAAGCACTCGATTGTCGAAAGGTCTCATCATTTTACAATCTATCTTATACATTCATAATTCTACCAATCGTCTATGCACCAAATATTGCTGCCACACCTGGTCTGGTGGTTCTGCTGTGTACTTAGAAATTCTTGATAAATCCAAAGAATCTGCACTGTTTTTGGTCCTGACCTAGCATCTCAGCTTCAATCACTTTTCCACTGTGATAACGTAGCATCCCTGTGCCTTTTCTATAAAACTTTCATGATAATTGTTCTGATGAATTTTCCTCTTTGGTACCTAGACTTTATGAATTAGATCTCATCATTTTACAGTAGAAATGGCTAGATGTAACCATAAGTTCTATGCTAACAGTTTCTTCTCTCACACTTATCACTTGTGAAACTCTCTTCCAGCTTCTTGCTTTCCAGTCAAGTTTGATCTTCAAAAATTTAAATGTAATGTCAATCTTTGTCTTCTTAAGTCCTCTTCTCCTATAGTTCTCTCTACTTAATAATGTTTTCTTTTTCTCATATTTTCTCACACTCAGAAACCAATTGTGTCTTAGTGGCTTTATTGCCTTGCTTATGGTGAAATTATTAAAAAAAAATTAGGGTATAGAACTAGCAACTCCTATAAAAAAGAAAATCTTCCAACAGTGTATATGACCATGGTCCTATATTCTATGGGGGGAGTCTACATGACTTACATAAATATACATCACAATAGTCATTTATCATTGTCTCAGTGTTAAATATCTCGTCCTGGGTATGATGGTAAACTACCTCTGGCAGCAATGTTTCTGATCAGGAGATTGAAAATTTTGAAGAGCATGGAACCACCTCTTAACTGTTGTTGTTCCCAGGTTCACCCTGGCCTGGGGTGGTAGCACCTGTTAGGGTTCCAGCTATGGGCAAATAGTGAACTCCCAAACAAAAATCAACAGTACATTTTTATAATAAATTGAGCAACAATACATTTTATAAGAAAATAACATTCGATGCAACACTAAGAAAACATAAAAATACTTTTTATGGTAAAATTACCAACAATTATGATCTACAAACTATATATGTAAAAAACATACCTTTACTCTGAAAGTATAAAATTATGTACAAAATATCTGTAGTTGAAGGCATAAAATTACATACAAAATATTTAGATTTACAGTATTAAATAACCAAGATAATATAGAGATTGATATGCTGCTAAACAAAATCAACTAACATTAATGTCATACTGTTGGACATGCACAAATATTAGTTTTACTTCTAATTTAAAAGAAAATTGATTTTTATGTGATGCATCTTTTGCATTGCCTGTGTTTCTCAATTATCAAAGCATTTTATTGTGTGTTTTGACTTTATTCTCAGCAGGAATGGCTATAGTTTTCATTATAATGAAATAGGTAATTAAATGTCAAAACTAGAAAAACAAAATCCTATTTAATGCATTTTGTCTGCCAAAAGAACTTCTGCAGACTAAATGTTTTTATTGACAGAATCAATTATATGTGAGGTAGTGGACAAATGTTGTTTATAGTTAAACATCTCGAGAATATCTAATTAAACCTCAAGAATATTTTAGTAGAACATTTAATTAAACATTTTGAGAAAACGCTGAAGATGCAGAGACACTTAAAGTTAATTTTTAAATTTCTGGTGTCTGATGTGTCTAGATGTACAGCCTAACCAACTTCATTCAGCTTCTTACCACTTTTGTTGTTTTTATTGCTGTTGTTTCTAAATATCTCACATTGTAAGAAAGATGAAATGTTGTATGAACCTGGATGTTCATTTACCTATTTCATATTCCTATCCATACTTGATCTATATTTGATCTGCTATTCATATATATATATATATATATATATATATATATATACACACAAATGAAATAAAATATGTACAGTGAGAAGATGATGGAAAGAATCTTAAAGTATATGTAAAGAAAGATAGACAGAGATAAGAAATAAAAAAATTAATTTAGAAAAGAAATGTTTTGTCACCCAACTTGATTTCAGATCCAAGAGGTTTGGAATTTATGAATTGATTGGTTTGTTTTTTAGGGCTTATCAACTCCTTCCAGATTATTTAAAGCCATCAAATATTTTTAGATTATTTTTGGAGATAATAATAATTTATTGATACAAGTCTTATTAATTAACTCATAGGAGGAGAAGAGTGGATTCATACCTTTTGCAAGGGTATTTGCATATAAATGAAAATAAAATATTCTGACTGGAACTGAAACTCAGCGTTCTGATTTCCAATTCCAAGCCTTTATTTATTACACCATCAACACATCACCTGGTATGACCAAGCAGTCATCCATCTAGGTACTGACCAAGCTCAACATTGCTTAACCTTGGTGATTGTACAAGAACCGATATTTCCATGTGATAAGGCCATAACACCAGTTTAAAATAGATTTCTGTTAATTCAAAAAACTCCCTAATTAACGGTAGTGATAAGAATTTTTACGACAAAGAACATTTTCATTTAAAATTTTTTTCACTTCAATTTAAATAATTGTACATTTTTATTGAAATAATTCAGAATTTCAGTTAACATATAGTAATAGATTATTTTTAATGCTGTATCCCTTCATCACTGAGGCAGTCAGAACTCACCACAGCTTCCTTTCTGAGAAAGATGATAAAGTCAGTTCACATTGCTTTTGCAATGATTTTGAATTTAAAGTTGTCCTTCTCTTAGATTGGTCATCAAGCAAGCCTAGAAAGCCCAATCCAAACTGTTATTTAACCCATAGCTGGAGAATAAAAAATTGATTCATGCTTTTGCTAAGAGTATTAGTACAAAGTGAGCATGACAGACTTAGTCAGAATTTGAATTTGGCTTGCCATTTCCATTTTCCATAGCATTAACTTTTAAATAATCTGCATATCTGATACTGCAATAGAAGTAAAATATTTCCCTACATCTGCTGAAACCAGAGAGAAAAACAACATTCAGCTAATATTTATTTTTTAATGCCTTCTATGAGAGTAATGTTAAAAATAGCAGGCTTTGAATATTTTTATTGGCAATTCATACTTCTTTTTCTTATTACTAATTTGTAAAATTATCCTCCCACTCTCTGTATTGAAAAATCATTAAAAATGACCTCCATATAAACAAAAGCATTTAAGAAAATATATTTTCTTTTTATTTATAGGCTACCAGTGCTTTCTGAATTTAGCAATTACTTTATCAAGAAAAAGATTCAACTTTATGATAGGTCAACTATTGTCAGTTAGTGTTTCCACTTTTTTGATTTTGCCATCAGAGAAGGTAAGATCAAGATTTACAAACAATATATAATTATGAACTATAAAACTTTTCATGACAAAGATTCCCTCAATATTCGTTACCCAATAAAGCCATAAAGCTTTGTTCACAAAGATAACGAAACTAGTAATACATAATAATAAAAGTTCCCAATATTAAACGTGTTGAAATTTAATGATCAAGATATCAAAAGAATCAATATTTATGTTTATTTTTGTCATTTGATCTTTTGATTTGAAACCGTTAACTTCCACTTAACTCTTTAATTATTGAAGTAAAAAGAAAAAAAAATCTTTTTCATGCAAGAATGACACATCACAGTGTTTGATAATGTCTTTAAAGCTTTGAACAGCAATTAATAGTTTTGTTTTTTTTTATTTTTAGAGCCTTTCATTAGGAATGCTCACATTCTATCCTGAATTCAATTCAGATCAATGGAGTGAAGTGGAGCACAATTCAGGACACGTAACAAATTTTAACATTTTCAAATCAAACTTTACAGAAATAAATTCATTATTCTCTACCATATTGTTTTAATCAGAAGTCATTTTACTTCCATATTTGTTGTTAGTTTTTTTTTGTTTTTTTTTTTGTTTGTTTGTTTGTTTACCAAAAGTTCTCAAATACAAATTCGTGTTGCAATCAAAATTTTGTTTTGTGATCAACAGGAAATTTGATGGAATCTTAATAAACATAACATAAACATTTGGCAATATTTGAAAAAAATAATTTCCAATTTATGCTTTTGTAATTACTCTTTCATTCATCTCATATTTTAAAACTGTCTTAAGAACTGTAAAAATTTCCATAACAAAGATGATTGCTACCCAGTAGTTAACATGCCATAAAAGCCTTGTTCAGAAAGAGAACAAAACTAATAATACATGAAGATTCTCAATTCAATGTGTTGAGATTGTTTATTCATGACATTTGTTTTATTTTCCAGAATGAATATTTAAGTACCAATCATCCATCAACTTTTTATAAAAATGCAGAAAGAAAGATAATTTTTGAAGTAAGTCTGTTTCTTTCATGAAACTTTTATTTCATTCTTGGATAGTCGAATGACTCTCACTGTTACTGTATGTCACCTCCTACCATTTCTGTTGGATTAAAGTCTGAAATGTATAAATGTTCTTCAAGCTTACATTGGAATGTTGTTCACTTCTTTTTTGTCACTAAGAATCACTGTTGCTCAGTTTCATTATCTTATTGCAGATTTTATTTGGTAATGATGCAAGAAAGTTATTTAATAAAAAAAAAATCAATGAAAAATATTTTGATGATTTTGAAACGAAACATTAAAATAATGGTTGGCTTGGGGGAAAAAAATCAAGAAAAAGGAGTGATTATTTTTCAATCGTAAATGGAAGTAATACTGATTTTTAACTTTAGCGATAACATCGAAGCAACCATTTTTTTGTTTAATTTCCGAGTATGGCCCACTGATTTACCTCCCTTGGATTTTTAATCTTAATGTAGTTTTTGGAAAAGGCAATAAGAAATTACTCTTTAGCAAAGACCAATTATGGCAATGCACAGTTTACAGATATTAAATGAAAAAGGAAGCTGTAAAGTCATTATTGCCTATGTCCTGAAAGGATATAGCACATAAAGAATATAATGGCTACGACCCTGTACTTGTATTTTTTATACCAAAACTAAACTGCTCTTTTAAATTAGTTGTATTTTACCAAAAGCTTAAACTATTTTAAGATATTTTATATAGTGGGTTGAATTATAAAACTATTATATCATTTCATGCATAATAAGTGCATAAACCACAAAAATTGTGCCTATTGGTCTACTTAAATGATTCAATTTTCGATATTATTCAGAGATGACCAGACATTTCACAGATGTTTGAGTAGACACTGTATTTTTTTTGTTTTTTTAAATAGTATTAGTTACGTTTACTGTCTGGTACATTTGATAAAATAATAGAGAAAATGTGCTCTTTGGCAAAGTTCAAACCTCACCTATAAAGGAGGACACAAGTTCAAACCCTGCTGAAGAACACATTTTCTTTATTAAGTCTCTCAAATACACAGGCAAATGATTCAGTTTTTTTTTTTTTATGAAACCAAGGCATCTACTAAAAACATGGGTATCCACTAAAATAACATTTAGAATAATAAGAAACATTTCATAGGGCAGGAAGTAAAACAAAACTGATAATCTCTTATTTTCTAAGGGAATAAAGCATTTCTTAAAATGATCAATAGATTAAGGGCTGAATTTAGTTTTTTTCCAGCTTTGACAAACAATAGCTATATAAACTGATAAACCAAGTGTTTCTATCTATTTGTTGCTTAAAAAGAAAATGGATCAAGATCATAACTATGATTTCTTTTGTTAAAATGGATCTGTGCACTCAGTAAAAGACCATTAGAATTAAATTCATGAGACGCAATACATTAACTATTCATCACTATCCCTTTTTGCTATGGATTGACATTGATAAAAAACCAATTCTGATAAATTTAACTTGAATATAATTAAAATAAAGATGTGCCTGAATTCCATACTGTTTCAATACACTAAGCTGGCTAAGACATTTTCTACACATTTCATGCAAATCGATCTTACAAACAGATTTGTATATATGATAAAAAGATAATAATAAAACTCCTGAATCTCATCAGTTCATTCTATTTTCTTTCCTCAGAGTGCTTGGGCAGATGTTCAGGCTGAAGTAGAGGTCATTACAAGTCAGCATTTTGAAGTGAGAAAAGGAAACTTTTTTCCATGGAGACTGCTTCGAGCAAATATAAAAAATCTTACAAAACAGGTTAGAGTTGTTTATGCCTTAATTAACTTAATTATATTTAAATTTTTTAAATATTCTTAATTTGATTTTATGGTCAATCATTTATTTGTAGATTGTTCCTGTTGTCTTAAATTCTAAAACTAAAATATTGGCATTAATGAATGAATTATTAAAACTAGTTTTCTTACCTTTGTTACTTTTATCAGAACATTATAGATAAATGTTAGTTAAAAGTGGATTCAAAACAAGAAAGGGCAGAGTTCTAAGCACTACAAACAGAAATAATCACTTTTTAAAAAAATTTTTTTTTCATATCACTATAGATTAAACACTCCAGATGAATATCTCGTATTAAATGAATAAATTTTAAAAAAATTATTTATTAAATTTTATAAAAGTTAATAGGATGTTCAGTTTATTATGTAAATTCATTGTAAAGTGATACCCCTATACAAGCCAAAATAAATGGGCTCATATGTGATTTTTAAAATGTAAAAAAAAAAGTTTAATTTGTAATCTGGAGTTCTTTTTATCATATATTACTTTTAATTAAGAACTCCAAATTATGAATTTCAAAACCTTTTTTTTCTTTTATATTTTAAGAAAACATCATGAGGGGAATCAATTTATAATGAATTTACATAGCAAACTGAACACCCTTATTAACTTTTATTATAAAATTTAATAGTATTTTTTTTATATATTAATGATCTGTAGTGCTTCATCTATAGTGATATGAAAACAAAAGTTTGAAAAAAGTGATTATTTCTGGTCTTGTACAATTCCAGTGAATAGAGTAAAAGAAGATTGTCCAAATAATTATTGAAATCATTTTGGATGGTTAATAAAAACTAAGAGTCAAACATTATAAGTGATGTTTACATTTATATTTTCCCCAACCCCTATGTATGTATAATTCCATCAATGGGAACATTAGTCTAATAAAGTCCTTTTAAAGGAAGAAATGTGTTACAAAGAATTTTTTTCCATTTTGTCATTCAATTACCCAACATTGTCCTGATATATAGAAATTTATATGTCCTATTCTCCAATACCAAAGATACAAAATAAGATAATTTATATCCAACAAAGTCTCGAGAACAAAAAAGATATAAACTTGTTGTGTAGGAACCTACCACCCCTCTTGAAGATGAACTCGTCTACAAACAAGGACGTTAAATGAGTGGCATGTCAAAAGACAGTGTCGGAGAAGTTCTGAGCTGAGTTAGTTATAGACTACTCAGGCGATATCTGTACCAAGTTACCAACCGAATAAACCCCATTTTATTGTTACATGTTATTTGGCGTTTGTCTTTATTAACCCCAAATTAACATCATAACAAAACTGTTAGTTGTAGTAACAAGTATCTCTATCTGCAACTCTTTTCCCAACTTACAAGGGTCCCTTTTTAAGAAACTCTTACCATTAAACATAATTTAAGAGTTTCTTTCCCCTTTTGATCCCTAAGACATTTAGCAACTGTCCTCTTGTAACTTTTCAACACCCTGTTGGCTTTGTAAAATTCATTTGCTCCTATATATAAATATTGGTCGCATGATGTTAGGCAGTCTCTCATTGGTTAATAAAATCACATGGGTTCAGAAAAAGCTGACCACCCCCAGTTGTTACTAAATTCCCAAAACTGACAAGATCCGGTCATTGTGTCCAATATCCCAAACATCTTTTATGTTGACCGGTTTTCCTTTCCTTTCAGCCTCAATTTACTGGCTTTGTCATATCCTATAGATATATTTTCTCTTTCAGAAACTTGTGCTACATTTTAAAATGAACTTTTCAATGTATTTGTAATGTATTTCATTTTTCATATGCTCTGCATCTTGGGTGGGGAACACCTGTTGGGTTTGTAAAATTCGTCTGCTCCTATATAGAGAGATTGGTCACATGATGTTAGGCACTGTCATTTGTTAATAAAACCATGTGGGTTCAGAAAAAGCTAACCACCACCATAGAAGAAAGCGGACATGCTCCAAAGTAACACACAGGAAATGCTCTCCACCACCAACAGTACCAGTTGCCGAGGATTTTAAAGATACAAGCTATCTAGATCTATTTCACTCACCAGATGGGTAAGTCCGCCTGACATATTCTCTATATATAGGAAAGGACATTGTGTTTATGTTAACCATTGTATTCATGTTTAGGTGTAAATAAATGTCTTTATTACATATTGATAAAGTATTCTTCTTATTCATGTCAGTCCCAAAGTAAAATGGGACTGGCACAATATCCCTATACTCTGGCATGTTATAGCAGTTATTGTCAGTGCTACCATATCACTAAGTTTAATGCTTACTTTTTGAAAACATGATCTTAACTTTTACCAGTTCAATACTGCCCTTTCATCAGTATCTCTAGAATATGCTGACTGCATTTCTGCAGAGGAGTCAGCCCCCCACCCCACAATGAGGCATCCTGGGAATGACTATAAACTACATCCACATGCTAGTTATGACAATCAACGACATCTGGCAACAAGGCCTCTGATCAGGAGCTTTAGAGGAGCATGGAACCATTTCTTAATTGCTGGTGTTCCCAGGTCCACTCTGACCCAGGGTGGTAGCACCTGTTAGGGTTCCAGCTATAGGCAAATGGTTAACCGCCAAATTGTGGTCAAAATATTATGAAAGTGAAAAAAATAGTTTTTAATACCAGGAATACATTTGGGGTTATTATTACCAGCAATAATATATATATATCAGCAATAAAAAAAATCTTGCTGGCATTAAATAACCACTGAGGTGAATATGCTGTAAAACAAACCAAACCAGTTCAATACAAATGTGATTGAGTTAGTATGTTGGCTAAACATCTGGGCAGAAAAGAGTTATATTGTTAGCAAAAATGAATTGAGACAGGAAAGCAGAGAATGAACCTGCTGCAAAGGTTAATATTCTGAAAATCGATCCATCATACTAGGCAGGTGATCTAACCTATGTTTCTGCTGAGACAGTGATGGAAAACAGAGTCTCTTTGTTGAGAATTTAGGTAAACAATATATTTTCATTGACAAAAACAAATTCAGAAACAATTTTATCTCTCACTCAGAAAGTTAAATGAGAACAAATTTCTCTTAACAGATCAGATGTTCTATATGATTAAGGTTGGAGTTATGGAAACTAATTGTGTTATAAGTGATCTGGTTTATATTTTCACAGGTCAAAGATAATTCCAGGAAAAAAGAAAAGATTCTGAGAATTAAAATTAATGGCTTGAATGGAACTCTGCCCTTCCGCCTACATGCTTTAAAAATTAGATTAGACAGTTATGCATACCCCGGAAAGTTGAATGCTAAAAGGAAAGAGAATTTCTACCAGCTGTATAGAATGGTGGTGTAAGATGTGAAGTGAAGCAGGTGAGAGTTAGGCAGGAGAATCAATCCCTGTAACTATTTTCAAGGAAGGTAGATCATTTTCCAAATCTAGAAAGTTGATTACAAAAATAGAAATAGGGAACAAAGAAAGCTCTTATTAGAATTAATGTGAAAATTAAAGAATCAACACCAGTCTTAGGCCGACATGTCTATAAGCAGATGACTTTGGGGAGCTCATAGACTTGGGCTGAGAAACCACATCAAATGCCTCTGGAATCCATATCAGCTGCCACCAGAATTCCTGATTGCAAGATTTGAACCCAGCCTTCCAGAAGTTTAAACAAGGCTCAGTGTCACTATAGAAATTGATGCAGGAAAGGTTCATTTTTGTTGTATCAAGAGCTACATAAACCAATTGAAGATTAACCCCACAAATCTTTCATTTTAATTTTCCTCATGTTGATATTTTTCCCTTAATATAGTACTCATCACAGCTTGACTAGGACTGCTTCAATTTCCATTAGTCCGAGATCAAAAACACAATATGGGCAGAGATGGTGTGGATCAAAGTGGTGTCAGCATTGACAAGCACAGAGTTAGACCCATAGTTAAAACATCATTCTAAGACCCTGAGGACCAGACCACTAAATGTGGTTGCACCACCAGGTGTAAGCGGCAGCGAAAGTTGTTACACAAAGAAATGCGTAAAAAAAAAATACACTACAGGGTTGATGCACAATTAATGGAACAGCTATGCAATTGAAAATGGAGATTGCTAACAATTAAACACAATTATATGATTTTTTTTCTTTATGTGTCTTGTAACTATTTGGCAATTAAGTTATGTATAAGAGAAAGTTAGAATTTATTAATATTATTTCCATTTGTGTTTAACTGTAGGTGAACCATCATTTTGAATCTTACTTAGATGGCCACACCCGAACTTATATGCAACATTGTATGGCTATTGGAAGCACTCATTACAAAGTCCATTTGCAGCGTCAATCTGATGGACTGACCATTCCTTATGGAAATGTTCGTGGTGAGTTATTTTCAATTTTTACATTTCTCTATGTTCTTATTTTATGAAACAATGTACTTTAACTAAGAAGGCCATTGTTTTCATCATAATCCTTTTTCTGTTTATTTTTCTCTCTCATTTTATATATATGTAAGATGTGTGTGTGTGTATATATGTTATTATTTATATATTATATATGCATAGTACTTTTTTTAAAAAAACACTCAATATCAGTGATAGAGCTAACATATTTAGTTGGATTGATGTGAGTTTGTGACCCTGGGTTTCACACTATTTGCGATTTTCAAACAGTTTGTCTGACAATTGCAAATAGTGTGAAACCCAGGATCACAAACTTACAATCCAACTAAATATAAATATATATAACACACACACACACACACACACACACACACACACAGAGGGTGTAATGAATAAATTGTCTTCTAAATTATGCAAAAATAAAAACAACACTTACATTTCATTTTAATAAATATATTTACCAAAATTACACAAAAATATCTTCAAATACTAAAGAGTAAATTTATTCAATAAAATCATTATTGGGTTCAACCATGGCTTCCAAATGACTTCAGAATCTCCTGCAACTCTTCTGGACAGTATCCTTGTTTAAGTTGGTAAATACTGTCATAATCCTGGCCTTCAGTTCATCTTTGGTGTTACAAGGAGTTTTGTTGGTCTCTCATTCAACTCTGCCCCACACATACTAATCAAGGCAGTTGCAGTTTGGGCAGTTAAGTGACTAGGTGTAAGGAGTGATGTTGTCACAGAAACTGTCTGACAGCCATGACTAGATTCTCCTGCTTATGTGGCATGGTGCAGAGTCCTGTTGCCAGACATAGGGTTTTCCAGCAGCCACCTTTTTTGACTCAGGGTAGCACTACTTCCTCAAGGCACTTGATGTAGCCCTCTGTGTTGAGTCTCAGGTCCTCACCAACAAATTCAGGAGTTCTTTTCTTATCAGAATAATCAGAGCTGTCATGCATTCATAATCACCATTAGACTCATCCAGTTCTTTCCAAATCCTCAGATTGACACCCATAAACACTCTGAAATGTTTGTATTGAAGTTTCTGGTGTGAATGCCAAGCAGTACATCATGCCGCTTACAAATTTCTGGTGGAGTGAATTGCATCATGGTACTCTTTTTCTCACAGATGGCGCCCAACAATATGGTGTAGTTAACGAAATTAAAAACAAACAAACAAACAATATATGCACAAAATTAAAAATAACAACACTCTGTGTATATAAATGCACTTATACAATATGAATATAGAAATCTTCACTGCAGGTTATATGACAGTTCCATGTTGAATACAGGTTTGATTCTTGTCAGGGGACACATATTTCTCAGACATTCAGGCCGGTAAATGTAGTTAATACTATTTATAAACAGAGCATTTACTTAAATATTTGTATCTATGGAAATAATGTATAAACAGAAAATATATTAAAATAATTGTCAGACTTAGGCCATTTCATAATATATATGTGTGTGTGTGTTTAACTGATATTAAATGGTCTTCCCTTATAAATATAACAAATTCTAAACACACACACACACACACACACAACATCTCTCCTTTAGGTGCTTTGTGTGATCATGTCTCTTTTTGATTCATGATTGACTTGACAGAATTCTTACAGTAGGCTGCCATTCCTTTCTGCAGTAGACTGGTTGCCAAAACAAGGCTATTTAACCTATAGCTAGCAGGAGAAGAGATGGATTCATACCAATGGTTTTTGCATGTAAGTCAATGTAATAAACTCAACTGGAATTTGAAATTTGCTCCCTGATTTCTCATTGAGCCATTATCCATCACACCACCTGCACATCCAAGCTTACAACATCTGGTATTCCTAAGCAATTACTCATCTATGTACTGACCTGGATTAATGTTGCTTTGGTGATTGGACAAGAAACAGTGTTTCAAAGGCTGTAAAACACACAATTTTTTTTTCAAGTGTAATATATAATCTTCCAGTCTCAATTTTTTTTAATACTATCTTCATGACTTTCTTAATTGGGTTTCACAATCATCATCATAAAATTCTAATATTTTCTTTGGTACTCTTACCACAGTACATTATTTTTATTACTAAAATTGTTCTTTATCCATTTTTCTTTGAATTTTAACCAGTATTCTAATAATCATTGGCATGATTGTCACTTCCACATTATAGTTTCTGGAGATCTAATCTTTTAATACATTTTTTTCTGGTAATTATCAACATCTGAAACTGATATTTCAGCCATAACATTGATTGCTCTGCTTCGAATGGGATTGCTTGCTGAAATCCAAAAGAAACTTTACCATCAATTTCTGAAACTCCCTCTCTATGAAGATATGGCACCATGGAATATTGGTAAAGTATTAATAGATTCTGTTTGGGGACATTACTTTCTACACCTTCAAGAGAATTTTCCAAGATTGTTTGTTTTACAATGAATTTTGTACAGCTAGAATACTCCATCTATTTAACACAAGCTCTTTAGGGAAGTCAAGAAAGACTTCCCTAAAGAGCTTGTTAAATAGATGGCAGAATAGGAAGTGCAAGGGATGGTGAACAGACAAACCTTACTAAGAGCTACTAAAGGATATGAAGTTGTGGAGAGTCATGACTGCCCAAGTCCTGAAGTGGACACAGTGCATAGAAGAATATATATTTGATATGAAACAGTCAGTCATTTATGTGCCATGCGTGATACGTGCTTAGGCGATCATGTATATTTCGATACATGACTGACAAAGCAATACTATAGAACCCGGTCTGTCCTGCTATTTACCCACAGCTGGGGGAAGAAGGATCCATACCTTTCTCAAGGGTATTAGCATGTGATATGAAACAACACAACCTTAAAAAGACTGAATATGATCCAATTATGTGATTGACTCAGTTCATAATTTTTATTTCTTCATCACAAAAGAGCTATACATTTCCTTGTTTACACTATAAAGTTAAATCCTTTCTAAAGTCATGATGTTAATTTATCACTGACTTCTACCAAACTGGATCTAAGTTTGCCATGATGTATGTTTATATATTTGCATTTATAGAGGAAGGTACTTTAGCTTATATTGCTTTTCACTAAAAGCTTACAGCAAAATTATGTTAACTATGTAGCCTTGAGGAGTATCGAGCCATGTCCTCACATTTCAGTGTGTGTGTTTTTTTCTTTGTTTTTTGTTTTTTGTTTTTTTTTACAGGGTTTAATGCTAGTTTGATATCCAACCAGTTTTAAATTCAAATTTTTCCTTCTAGACTAGTTGCTAACCAAGTTTAGAGATCAGTTCGCCCTGCTATTTCTCACATAGCTGGAGGGGAAGAAGAGATGGACTCATAAGGGTATTTTTGTGAAAGCAAATGCAATGGCCTTGACTGAAATTTAAACTTGATTCTATTTTCCACACTGATCACCACTATACTATGCACACATCCAAAATTGTATTAACCTGCTTAAAATGAGATTACAATGTCAAAGATGCTAGTTAAGCCCCTATAATTCAACTAGCCCAAACTTAATTTTTAGGTATGATTTTTACAAAATTATTTCATGCAAATTCAGGTAGGTGTCTTTTTATTATCTCTAGATTTGTTAGTAAGTCCTCAGTTAACAACTTGGTTTTGTTATACCAACCTGATCACTAAGTGAGAACTTGTATCTGACTACTATTTCAGGCCTACTCTGTATCTAATAGGTTTGTGTCAACCAGCTTCAGATAGCTTTAATGTCACTTTTGCACTATTTGTCATATTTCTAAATGTTTATAAAGTACAGTAGTGTATCAAACAGTAAACATAACAAGTTTGAAAATCAGCTCTATATTCTGTACATGACTTCAATTTGAATATTGTAAATAGAGTATAAGAAACAGAAAACAATCATGACTAAAGTTTTCATATAATATACAATAACTGGTTGGGTTTTTTATTTTATCACTGGTCATAAGTCTAGGGGATTATTAAACATGTAAGTCATAAAGTGAGGCGTGGCTGAGCAATGAATTAATGGCATGTAACTTTAATTCAAACAGGTGTATTTGCTCCATTTGTTAATGCATCCATCAAACCACTTCCTATTCTAAAGCAAAAATGGATGGCCTATCCTTTCTTAATAATTTTATTTCTCTTTGCAAAGTATTTTCAGCTGGTCAACTTATGTACATTGACTTTGATACAAAAAATAAAACTTTTGATACAGTCGTTCCAATGGCATATCAGGTAAGACATAAAAATTTTCTTGAAAATTTTGGCATACAAAATTTGTGTATTTATGAGATATTCTATCACAAAAAAAAAAAAAAAAATTTTGCTAAGACCAACAAGAATATCATTTAAACAGAAGCAATTTACAAAATATTGTTTACTTTATATCTAGTGAATTCATAAGAAAGTAAATATAAAAAAATGTAAATTTCACTTGAGGAATAAAACATGATTATTTATAATAATGAAAAGCAGAAATCATTCAATTTTGATGTGTTGAAAAGTTAGAAACCACTATGTCATCAGGACTTAAAATTAACATTAGTTTGGAATGACTTGTTGGGTTTTTAGGGATGTTGCCAGGATGATATATATTAATTAAAATTCTATTGTATTGATTCTAAATTCTTGCCAATAGTGACAGATTATTAATGCATTCACACAATGAAAAAAAAAAAAAAAAATATAACTAAAATGTAAGAATTTCTTTTTAAACCGATGAATGAAACTTAAAAGAAAAATAAAAACTTGACCAACTTAAATCTAGAAATTTGTCTATCTCAAAATTTGAGAAGCATTAGTATCTAATTCTAAGAACTAATTTTGCTTTAATAAACAAAATTATATTTTTCTGTCAAATTTTGGTTAAAAAAAAATAAAAATGATTGAACCATTAACCAACAACATTTATGCATTATGTTTTCTGAAAATAATATCCAATTTTCTAAATTGAAAATACAAGGGAGAAGTTTTAAAAATGATAAAGTGAAAATTTAGTCACAACATGAGGCAGGTAATTATAAATAAGTTTTTTTTGTTTTTTTAATGTAATTTTTGATTGTGAATAGTTGGAATGCACTAATATTCTTTCTGTAGAAAATGAATACAGAGCACAATTATTAAATTAAAGTATGATAAAAGTTACTCTCAATGAAAAAATGAAAATTAATTTTTCAGTGTAAAAATAATTAAGGTGATTAAAAATTTTTGTGACTGAAATGTTTAAATAATGACAAAATTGTGATTTGTGTGAAAAAAAAAAAAAAAAAAAAAACAAAAACTTTCATAAAACATTTTTTTCCTTTTGTTTCTTTAGATTATGTCTCTGTTGATGAATTATGAAAGAACAATAAGAGACTTTGGCAAATGCAGAAGTCATGCAAAGTACGTGAAAGTAGTTTTATATAGGAAAAGTATCTTTTGGAATTTCCTATTTGATTTCCATTTATTAACCAAAAGTTAATTGCTAAGGACACATTTATGACAAATATTTTTATGACTAACTGAATTAAATTGTTTTTTTGCATTAATTTCCTTTGCAACAAAAGACAAGGTGGCCATTGGTATTCCAACATAAAAGTCCTTGACATATTTCTAACCAGCTAATAATAATGATAGATTAGTTAATATAAAGGTTACAATGAAGAAAAATCATGATGGACATAGAATATCTTCAAACTAATTTTTCTTGCTTTCATTTTTTAATTAAAACCCAAAGCAATATCAACAACTAAGTTCAAATGTTGAATATCATTAACTCCAAGTGTTAATCAAAGAATCACTTTGGAAGATCTTAAAGATGGAAACTTATTGATTGATTTGATTTTGGGGCTTAAAAGCATATCAACGTAGGTCATTTTATGCCAAAGATTTGGTTGGGCATTATGGTATGTGTATTAAATTTTAATTTGTGAATAATATTTAAGTATTGTTTAGTTGAAAACAATATCATTTGTAAAAGAGTTCATTTAAAGTTAATGATTTTGGTATGAAGTTGAGCTTCATTTTAAACTTAAAATTTTGAATATATCTTGGTTTCCTTAAGAAATTTAATTATTTTATTTGGATCAATCCTGTTGAAGAGTTTGTTCATATTATTTACTTGATCATATTTTTTTTGAAATTTAATTCAAATTGAAAACACGGTTCTCGTTCGATCACCGATCAGAACCAGGTCAGTACTTAGATGGGGGACCGCTTGGGAACACCTGGTATTAAAATCCAACCCTTACCTCACAGTCGGTGGGGGGTGTTTTCAGAGCTATGTTCCTGGTAGGGCCACCCAAAAGCGGACAGGTCTGAATCTATACATTTGGTAAAATCCATCTGCATCGGTAACCTGGCTTCTGGTGTTCTGTCTCTGCGTCTGTGGGAACCCCGCGGCAAGCAAGAACGTTATCCGAGTAGGCCTGGGTACCCTACTTCTGTAATTTATCCCAAGAATCTTCTTCTCATAACAGGAAGAAGCCGGCTTTTTTTCAGTTTTTTTTATGGATTAAAAAAAAAATGTGTTCCAATATTGTTCATTACATGTATAGCACATTCTTCCTTTTTTTTTTTTTTTTTTTTAAAAAAAAAGAATCTTAGCTGTGGGTAATAGAAGTGTGGCTGAGTCAGAGTTGAACTAGTACCGATTCCTCTTTTCATATTTTTTATAACCAGTTTGCCATTCTTTGATGTCTGGTTGGATTTTATAGAGTTTATTATTTATATGTTTGTTCCATTCTTTTTGCCAATTGTCCATGATGAATTTTTGATAATTGTTCTGAAATTAGTATGCAGTATTTTTGTGTTTGTTTGGTTCATCTTTAATGTTTTTCTTGATTCTTTGTCAGCATTCTCATTACCATTAGTATTGCCAAGTATCCAACACAATATTATGCATTGTTTTTTGACATGTATTGGATTTTATTTAGTACTTTTATGGTGATCGGATTTGTAGTATTTTTTTTAATTTTTTATTGCCGTAAGTGCTGAGAAAGAATTGGAGAAAATAATAAATTTTATATTTTTGCTATCTTTTATTAGGTCAAGAGCTAAGTTGATGGCTGTGATTTCTACTGTGTATATAGAGGCATTATTAGATAATCATTTTGCTTTTTTTTTTATTGCAAAGTATGGTATCACATCCAACTTGATTCCCTTTTTCTTTTTTTTTTTATCAATCCATGTAAATTTGAGTATGATCTGGATGTCTGTTTATTATATCAAGCATTTTGTCTTGATATATAATGGAGTTGGTTGTGTTTTGGGGATGTCTTGATAGAACAATCAAAAATAATAGAACTGTTAGCAATGGCAGTATTTCTGAGGTAATTGCATGGGATGATAGTATTTATATGGGTTTCTGAAAGAATTTCCTTCATTCATAAGCTAAATGGTTTTATAACTTTTCCTTTTGGATCAAAGAGCTTTGTATATTGAGGATATACACTTATGTGTTGGGTTTGACGGGTATAAAGTGAGTTTAAGATAGTATTGGAGACCTGATTTTTGCCTTCTCAGTTCATGGGCCTTTTCATATGCTTCTGTATATACTTTCCATAGTGTGATTTTATAAACCCAAGTGCCAATCTCAGGCCTTGGTGAGGGATAGTATTTAGTGTTTTGAGATATGTATTTCTAACTGATCCATATATAATACATCCATAGTTCCACTTTGATCTTATTAATACTCTATATAATTTTAACAGTGTCTTTTTGTCAGCACCCCAGTCTATGTGCTAGCATTCTCAACAGTTGTAAGGCTTTGTTATATTTTTCTCTTAGTTTCTTTATATGTCGACCACTTCGTCCCCAGCCCCTCAACCTCCGGCGTCTTCCTCTTTGGGTTGAGGTGTCCACGCAGTCTGAACGGAACTTACGGATTACTGGCCGTACACTCCCTGAGTACCCGTAGATTATTTCGACCGGTCAACTGATCAAGTCCTGCTTGCTGCCTACGCTGTGTTAATTTTTAGATCCAGTAAGCGGGGTGTTGTCCATACGTTCATGGTCAACTGGGGATGTGGACACGGCTGTGAGAGTTGGAGCTAGGAAGTTTAGAATGAGGCAAAATAAAACAAGAAATAATATCTGCAGAAGCCAGACAACAATGGGGGAAATATTAACGTCTTCTATATAAGAAGATAACATCAGAACAGAGGTTACAGGGAGCATAAAAACATTTAACATAAATGAGAAAAGAAAAAGACAAAATGCATCCAGCGAATTGCCCAGAGAGAGGGTTTGTGTGTGATAAACACGTATTGAATCGCCTGGAGTAGGCTTATGATTAATAGTCCAGTCTCATACAGACTTTTCAGAAGAGGGGTTAGTCTTCTCTCTCTCTCCTCCAAAATTCTCCCGCAAATCTCGTGACTCTCTCAACTACAGTCTCTTTCCCCGACTCTGCTTTATTAGAAAAATCTCGAGTTAATATAGAAAAAGGATCAGCTGATCACAATTGACCCTCCGCCCGGCACACAGCTACCACGAGTGCCAAAAACTATCCCTTGACATGTAAACCTATTCTCCAATTATTTACCTTATCTCAATCATGAGTTCTCGCTTCACCAAAATTATACTTTGGGATATCTAAACATTGATTCAACCTTTTATTCAAAACAAATACTGTTAAACAAAACCAAGTATCTCGCCCATCCCCATTGTTTACTAGTGACCTAGTGACCCAGGTTTAAAACATTGCCTCCTGCCCTGAGATAGTGTTTCTCATCGGTAAACACACATCTTAACCCAAATTGTACTTTGTTATATAAACACCGTTTCCATTTCCAGTCAATAAAAATTATATTTGCATGTGTGCGTATACCTCTCTCTGTTACATATGTGCTATGAGAGTTTTTTGTCAAAAATAATACCCAGGAACTTATGTTCATCTACAGTGGGTATTGTAGAGTCATCAATTTTAAATATCTGGTCATTGTGTAATTTTTGTAGCTGACAAATGTATGGTTTTGTTTTTTTCCTGTGAGAACTTAAAACCATTCTCTATAACCCATGTTTAATAGTTGGAGCTGATGTTCTATAGAGCTTATATATTTGGACCTATGACATATTAGAAAGTCATTTACAAAAAGTGTTGATGTTTTTGGTCATATTTATTTTATGTGAAATAATGTGACTGACATTATACTTTCTTGTGAAACTCCCAGTTTGTGTTCCTTTGTATCTGACATTATGGATCCCACTTTCACTGTGCAATATCTCATTTAGAAAGTTTTCTATTTTAATTGGTAGTCCACTCTAAGCCTACGTTTTTTACATTCCTCATAATGCCATATTTCTATGTTGGGTCATATGCTTTTTCTATGCCAAAGAAAACTGCAGATACATGTTTTCATATATTTGCCTGTTGCTGTGTTATATTTTAGATATTACTTCCAGAAAGATAAGTTTGTTATAATATTCTACATTATTGGATATAAAGTTAATTTTCTTTTACTCTGCATTTTGCTTGATCATTTGAAATGTCTCATTTAGGTTATCTGTGGATGAATTTGGGGCAAAATTTTCAGCTAGCATATCCGTCTTATTTTTTTTGTTGTTGTTTCTTTGTTTTTTTTTCAGGCAGGCACTTAAATTGTGTTATTTTTCCCCTGATATTTTCTTTATTTTCCAGAATGTTTTTTGTTGTAGTTATTTAGTTTTGTCACAAAGCTTTTCTAGGTTGATCTTTTGGTTTCTTTTATTGTTGGTCTTGCTATGGCCTGGCTATTTTTATATTGGTTTAGGTTCCCCCCCCCCAATATGTTTGGAATTTTTTCAGAGTTTGTATCAGGTTTTAACTGCTTCCCTTACATTTTTCATTAAACCAGGGTTTATTTAGATTGAATGTCAAGTTGTATTTTGGTATACTTTCATTTAGCAGTGTTTGTTGCAGAGCCAATAAGGATATCACCCCCGCAAGCTTTTGTTTTCGAAGAAAGGTGCGAACAGCCAAGACAATGAGGGGACAAAGGCGAAGGTTTAAAAACAAACGTCAATTTTTATTTTTACAATATGTACAAGTACAGGAGAAAAATACCTTGATCAATGTTGGGTCCAGGATGACTGGTTTGGTCAGGAGAACTGGTTGGTTGTATCGGCGACTGTATCTGGTCAATTGCCAGGTTGAAGAATTGTTAGCAGCAGTAGCTGGTCAATTGCCAAGTGTTATCGAGATGATTAGGGCGAGTCCCTAAACAGTGCCAGGTCAGTGAGATGATATGTCCTCCAAGGTAAATCGACAGCAGAAGCGGGATCACACGATGATGCTGGAGTCAGTGAGGCGATATGTCTTCCAGAGCACATCGACCGTGGAAATGGCATCACGCTGAAGAATATCTCTTCATGAAGCACCAGGAAGATCGCAAAGGCAGTGTACAGGTACTACACTTTGATCCTGGCTGAGCAGCTTGGTTTTTGTTGGAAAAAGGGGCTAAGATTATATCAAACCATTTGTTCAAGTACTCCTGACTAATGGGAGTAGAAAACTGTAGATATAAAATTATTCCTGATGTTCCGATGTCTGCCTTATCCGATAACCTCAAGGTACAGTTTACACTTCAACCATATTGGGCTAGTTGTCCAGTTACTTGCCCCCATTGACCTTAATTCTGCTAGTAAAGGGGTTGTGAAGATCAAGGTCGTTTTTTCCAAGGAGCAGCCAAAACAAATTCTCATGAAGTAATCTTCATCCTGGTGCTTTGTCTTCAGAATTAAAAGATACTTGTTCTAATATTATCGGAAAATGGTCACTGCCATAAGTATCCTTGTCAGTATTCCAGTGCCAAGGCTGAGTTACAGACTGTGGTATGTAAGGGATCTATTGTTGTACAAGCTAAAGAAAGCAACCTTACCATTTGGTTACTGTAAAAGAACACAAATTTGACTGCTGCATGGATGGACGTCCTTAAGCAGCTGTCATGTGACCCACATGGCTTATCTCCACCAAAAGGAGATAAGCGCCTCCTGTATCCTTAGAACATCACCTTCCCAATCTTGATTTACTAATTTCAAGGGATTATATATATATATATATATATATATATATATATATATGCATGCATGCATTTACTAAGTCAGTTCTTGACAAAAGTTACATTTTTTGTAAGAATGAGAACATTGATGAAAACCAAAACAATATGACAAATAGCTGCCATAATTTTTAAACATCCAAAGTTGGGGGGATTTTTATTTAGTTAGATATTTTTGTAGGGATATTGAGAATTATTTTAACATGTCAGAAAATTGATTGTCTTCAAGTAAAGATTAAATACAGATTGATTCTATAGCACATGCTGTATATAAATTTGAATGCACTCACATTAAAGTTATATTGATAAGATGTCTTATTTCTGTGAATATGTCATGGAACATTTGATTGTGGAGAAAAATCCTCAATTGTTTCAAAAATTTGTCAATGAAAAGTGCAAACAAAAAATGTAACTTAATTATTTCCCTATCATCAACAGGGAGGACACAATACAAATTGACTATTAAAGAAGGATTCTGGATTACTAAAATATATGACAGGCTTGAAAATGTCAAAATAGTTTTGTAGAATTATAACCATTTGTTGCACAAACTCCTTTTTTCTTTTATATATTGAATTCTTGTACATTGTATTGAACTTAAAAATTAAATCAGTTTAAATCTTTGATTGATGGAGGGAATAGAAATCTCAAAACATGTGCCAACTTCATGTTCAATTCTCAGAGCTGAATTTGAAGTGATACTAATGCTTTTTTGTTTTAATAAGGTATTCTTTTTATTTACACTACATTGTTGTCCTCATTTTTGTTATATTCATAACATTTTGGTCATTGTACACTGCGGCCTTCAGATGATTGGAATTTTGAAGCAAAACCTTTATTTCATCCACCAGGGTAGATTGTCCTAGTTCCACGTGCCATGCCTCTTCCGAATATCTCAATTTCAATTATTTCCCTTTAACTCAACACTTCAAGTCCTCAAGGACACAGGGCCCAGCAGATAAAAAGCATTGCTTGAAGTAATCCAGTGACTTGACCCAAAGAGTGGCCACAGCAGAGGTGAACAAAAACAAGGGAAAAAACTGAAACTGAGATATCTGGAAGAGGCATGGCATGTTGAATTAGAACAATTATTTGGTGGACAAAATAAAGGATTCAGTCCAAAATTCCAATGGAAATGTCAAAACATTGTGAATATAACAACAAAAATGCAGACAAACAATGTAAATAATTACAATACCTCAGAAATTTTTGTTCTTCAGAACTCAATTTGGATTTGGTCTTATATCCAACTGTGTAGGGAGTGATTTCTTGGGTCCTTGTAAGGTAAGTCACATCAAATAAATACTCAGTACAAAATTCTCTACTTGGTAAGGTAAATATAATTGATTTTAATGTTTTAATATTTATTCACAGCATCTAAAGATTAATGTGAATCACAGTGCTTAAAAATTAATCCCCCTCTACCTTAATTTTCAGGATTCTCTGAAACCAGTTCCTTGTGGAGATTACACTTGTCGATCAAGCTTTATTGAATGCTTGCAAGCTTTAGTCAAAGCAGAGTAAATGAAAGGTAAAAATGTATACACTTAAATTTTTCACTCCAACCCCTGGAAATATTGTGCATCATCTAATTTCTATAAACACAAAATTGTGTGTATCTGTCTTCCTATAATTTAGTTCTATAAAGAATTATATATATATATACTTTATGAATACAACAAAGGCCAAACAATTTGTTGGATGTGAGTAATTATTTCAGAATTAATTAAATTCTAAGTCTTTGGTTTGGGGAAAGAAAAAAATACTGGGATTATATCTTGAATTGTTCTATTTTTTTTCCTTCCAGTTTTTATGCCTGAAACAACAACCTTTTAAGGAAAGAAAACAAAGACTGAGATCTGAATATTTCATTTCAACAATAAAGTTGACTTTTGGTTTTATTTGTGAAATTTACAGTAATCAACTTTCTTAAAATTAAATATACGTTGCTGCAGTACAGCAGCTATATATGAATTTCTTAAGTAAAAGCAAAAAATTCATTATTTACATTTACACACAAAAAAAAATAATAATTAAAAAAAAAAAAATAAAATAACCTAATTTCACGAATATTTTTGCTATTTTACCACATAGTGCTGTATTATATCTTAGCTTTCATCAAACATAAAAAAAACCCAGAGTTCTACAAAGAACACTAACATCTCTTAATAGAAAGCAGTATCAGCATCAATCTAAACAAGAAATTCCTTTATCAAAAAGGAATTTTAAAGAAAATAGTCTTATTTCCAAATTAGCTAGTATTTTTTATGTATCTTTGCAAAGAAATCATTAACCTGTACTTGAAAGTGATAAAAAAACTGTTTATATGTAATTCCTGCTCAAACACTCAATGAAATAAATAACCTTAATTTTTATAACTTTTTATCAACAATAATTATTTGTTAAAAATAACGCTTTATAAACAATTGACCAGTAAATAATGTATAAAATGGTTACACACTCACTGTATATATTCAGGCAGCTTATTCTGGCTTTTAATAAAAGCCAATTTTAATGCCTATTAGCAGACATGGACCCAAGCACTTTAACAAATGTATGTATGTATACAAGTGACAGATGAATTTTAACCACTGATTCCAGCAGTGTGCAAAATTCCTCTATATTTTGATTTAGTATTCTGGACTTGGCGGTTTGGGCTGTCCCAGTTGGTAGCTTTCTAAAGGACAAGCCTTTTGGTGGGTGATGGAGTCTGGAATAAAAAAGAATATATATATATATATATATATAGATAGATATCTATTTACTTAAGGGCTCATACTAAAAACTAACAGTTAAAACCTGTATCAGTTTTGTTTTTAATTAGTTAAGAAGATTGCATCAGTTTCTACTTCAACCTAAATAATCATGTCTTTGTGGTAATTTAGCTGAATCTAAGTAAAGGAAAATGGAGTACATGGATAAGTGTTTTGGTCTTTCATTAAAGATCTCATAAATGTTTGACTTATCTAATTTTGTTGTTTCATTGCAATCTGAAGAGAAAAATATATGTAAAGATTACTCACGTGAAACATGGTTGGAGATGAAGTGTATTAAATAAAATGGAATTTAACAGAAAATCAGTTAAATATGTTTTTAATTATTTATAACTACTCACCTAATATCCACTGAGGGCTAACACTTAACATAGATGGATTAAACTCATCACCCACATAAAAATTGGCACTACACATGGTGTTCTTCACCTGAAAAGACAAGCAAAACTTTAATTTTGGAAATTGAAACTATTCAAGACCAGATAATATTACCATTCATCTAATTTACAATATGATGGAACAGTTTTTTTTTTTTTTAATATCTCAAATATTAGTCCTTACAAGTAAAGTGCAAGAATACTCATTAACCACCATTTAAAAAAAATTTAAAATATGGTTGAAAATTCAAAGGCCAAATTAAATGACAAAATAAAAGCTTCTTATATGTATATTATTGCCAAACATTAAAATTTTGAAAATTATTGTTCAGTAAATTATTTTAGTTTCTTCAATTCTAGTGTAGAATTTGTACCATAACTTTCTCTTATTATTCTTCAGTCTAGACCAATGGTTCTAAACTGGGGTCTGTGTAACATTACTGAGGGTTCGCACAAAAAAAAACAATAACAAATTGGGGGTCCACAGTAACATTTTAGTCATCCATAGAGCAATTTTACTTCGGAATGGTTGTTACAGAGAATTGGAATTTCTACAGTAATTTATACCATATTAAAATTTTAATACTAGCAGAAAACTAGATCAAATGATGTAAGTTAGCATCCATTTTAGAATTTTAAAAGTCAAATAAAAACTGAGAAAGATATATAAAGGAAGGATTTATATATAAATTTCAAGGTTTAAAAAAGCCACCCTAAATAGAGTCTGCTCAAAATTAGCCTTTTGGCATATAACTATATAATATTATTAAATTTAAATATTGATAAAATATTAATATAAATTAATTAATATAGTAATAGACTCAACATAGCTGAAGATCACCTCTTTTCACAATCATTGACATCAAATATAAAAAAAACTTGCAGAGCAGCATCATCCACAGGGATCACATTGAATAAATCTGCATTATTTTTTTTCAAATTTATTAATTACTCACATATTTTAAAATGGCATATTATCAGTTATTTTACTCGTGTACACAAATGTTCCATAGAATTTAATTGTTAAATACAAGTTTATTTTCATTAGTTTTACTTGAAAATAGAGCCTATACATTTACTATAATTCCTAAGCTTATCTATTAATAAAAAATTAAAATTTTTTTTTTTCTTTTCTTTTTTCACTGAATGGTTATAGGGACCCACCAAAAAAAAAAAAAAAGAAAAAAAAGTGGCCCATGGGTTAAAAAAAAAAAAAAAAAAGTTGAGAACCACTGGTTTAAACAATTCTAGTTTACACTGTGTGAGAACAAAGGATAAATATGATTCTAATTAAATAAGAACACACCTGTCCACCACAAAACTGAACGAAATGCACAAGATCCTTCCTGGGCGGGGCTGATGATGTGGAGATAAACATAGGACCACAGGATTTGAAAATTGGTAAGCTGCGATTTCTTTGCTTATTCTGCCGATAAACCTGATAAAAAGTTATTTTGATAGATCATGTGTTAAATTAGTTTTATTTACAAAATTTTAAAGGCATAATTAAAAAAAAAAAAAAAAAAAAATCACCAGCAGTGCCATCTTTAAAATTGTATAAAAGAACTAATTATTTAAATGTCAGCTTTTCTCCAAGAAGCAACAGTTAAAAAAAACAACAGTTTCATCCTCATTTTTTTTTTTTTTTTTTTTTATTCAGTTTTATTCAAATTAAGAATATTGCATGGATTTGTGCAACTTATGTTATCAGAAAAGAAAAAGCATGAAAAACAAAAAACGTGCTTACAATATTTGTTGGTGTGATACCAAAAATAATTAACTGAACTGTTAGTATAAAAAAGAAAAATACTGCAAGACACATCAATGCTTAAATAATAATCAGTTTCTAATTCTCTTGTCAGAATAATTTATTTATTTAGGTATTTAAAACAAAAATATATTTGATGTGTCATTTAGGCTCAAGAATAGGGAACATCATAAAGGTTGAAAAGAAGGAGGAAACAAACATTACCTTAGCAGCTGGATAATCATCAGTCATCTCAAACTTTCGCTCATCTATCCATTTACCAGCTTCCATAGATTTAAAAACCTATACAACAAAATAAAACTCAGTTGTTGGTTGAGGAAAGATAGAGATTTTTGCAAAGAAGAATTTTATTTTCAGATAATTTAATAGTATTCTTAATTTTATGATCTAAAAAAAAAAAAAAAAAAAAAATGAATCTTGCTTTGTACTGCATAAAATGTAATATTTATATTGATTTTTCTGTCTGAATTTTTGGAATGAGACGTTAAGTGTCCTCATCTATGTTATCAATGATTCCACCATTACGCTCTCTGGCCGTTATCAGGTGTATGTCATCTGGGTACTTCCCATGTCTAGGCAGTAAGATTAGAGGAACAGCGGAAAGCTATAGTGATGGCTGATGAAAATACCAGATAAGGAAGAACACTGGAGAGTTCTGCTAGCCTATGAGGGCCTCTGAGATGGTAGTTGCTGACAAATGGCAGCAGGTCTTCAGCAGTTGTAACAAAAGAGAAGATTTGTGGAATGCAATCAAGCATGACAAGTAGCAGTAACACTCATCAGCAGGCAGGTTAGGTTTTAGGCTCCAAGTTCTCCACAATAGCCTAGTGGATTAAGGCATTGGTTTGTGAATTTGGTGACAGTAATTGTGAGTTCAGTGGGGAAAAAGGGGAAAGCAAAAACTGAACTTAAGAGAAGATATCCCTAGAAAACAATCTACACCCCTGTAGATTAAATCAAGGGTTGAGTCCAGAATTCCTTGTAAATTACCTGACGAAGGCCAAAAGGCAGAACAGTTGAAACGTGATAACAACAAAGTTGAGGAGGATAGTCTGCAAGTATATAATTATATTGATTATTTTTGCAGCCCTATATATCTTTTTCTCTTCAATTATTTAACAAATATATTCAGCATTTTATTAGCACTCACATTAACAGTTTAATATGTATTTTAATGTAGAAGATAAAAAAATAAAAGAGCATTACCCACTGTTTGGAGACCAGCCAACATCCTTGTATCAGACCATACAAAAGGTTTAATGTTCGTCTTGCATTGCCGCAGATTACATGAGTTGTTGACTTACGTACATTGTCACTTATAACACAACCACCTAAAGCTTTTGTGACAGACTTTACCATTTCTTGTTCACTATAAAAAGAAAACAGATACATATGTATCTTTAAGCACAACTATTCATGTTACATTTTTTATGATTAAAGTTATTAAAAAGCACCTGGAGCAGAAGATTGAGACACAGTTGTAATCTAGAAGAATTTTATACTAACTAGATACAAATGAATTTCCTTTATGTACATTTATGTAAATATATTCAGTAGTATGGTTGGAGAAAGAGAAAACAGTAGCATAATAACTAACAAATAATACTGGCTTTAAAAGCATACCATACTCTAACATTTCACCACTTCATCATAAATAATTAATGCTAACTTATTTAACACAACACAGGCAGATAAACTTTTTGTCAGCTGGAATTGTAAAACAGACACTATAGATTTCTTTTAACAAACTGAATACCCACTCCCTCTGTTAATAGAATATTTTAATGATCTACATCATAAGCCATGCTAGTGTGTGATGCTGTTCTAGTTTTTTATCAAAATATTAGATTCAGCCCTTTTTTTATAATCTTTATTTGTTAACCACCATCTTGTCAACAAAAGAAACTGAGGTAAAACAAAAAGCAGTTCTTTTGAGTAGATAAGGAAAAAATCCTATTTATGCATCTCTTGTTGTAAACATTTTTGATATGCTTTTTTGCTGTTGTCACTGAATTTCCTAACTTTAAATATTAAAAGAAAAAAAAAATTAAGAAAATTTCATTCATAGTAGAAGCAATCAATAATAAATGCTTTGTGAAAACTGCTTATGCATATATTAGTGCATACATAATACTTGATTAGTGTAGTAAAATATTCTTCAGTTTAACCATTGATAATTGATTTTTTTTATCGTTACCAATGTACATATTAAACACACTAATTAAAAGATTCGTGTAATCAAATCTGTCGATAGCCATTGGCTACCAGGATTATCAACTTTCCAAGTGAATTGTTATTAGTAGTAAGAAAACATTTTGAATTGAATTCTATCAGTTGACTTTTGTAGTTGTTAATTTTAAGAACAAATGACTGCAGTGAAAGAAAATCAATCACAGAAGTTTTGCTAAAATGGTTTTCACGTTACCCAAGAGATTACAGGAAAATTTCAAGTAAAAAGAAAATATAAACTATTGTTTAGAGTCAAGAAAAACAGCTTAAAAAAAAAAAAAAAAAAAAAAATGCAACTCCTTCCTATTGAAAGTTCAGTTTCAATGGATAACTATATTGAAATGAATGGGAGAATTAAAGTTTTGATGTGTTTATTCCTTGAACCCTACCTATGATATCATAAGTTACATAAACAATAGTTTGTCATTCCATCTGACTAATCAAAAAGAAATTTAGTTGATAGAAGACGTTATATTTACCTTGAACTCATGCTGGTCATCACTAAATATTTCTTGATGGGCTTCTGAAAGGTAGGAAGATTCTTCTTTTCTTTAATAATTGAAAGATTCTCTGAAACTGGAGCCAACAACACCGATGTTAGTTCTGCAGGAAATGCCTGAGAGCGAGAATTGCTCTGAAACATATTATCAAAAGTAATGCCATCCGTTTTCAAACAATCTAGCTCTTGTTGCAGTCTCTCTTCAACACTACTTTGTGTGCAGACATTATCCTTGTCTGCTGAGGTGCTGGAAAACGAGGCGCCATTTTCTTTTAAATTTTTGTGACAAGTTATCAGTTCTGCATTTGAAAATGACAAAGTTTGTGGAACAGTAGTATTTTCTATGTGTTTAGCTTGTGACGTGTCAGCCTTTTTACTTGGCTCAGAGTTACACGTTGTGTGTTTGATGCCATGAAATAGACTCTCATTAACACCAAGAACATTCATAGTCTCTCTGTGCTTATATCTCTTCCTATGAACAGGCTTATTTATTATGAAATCTTCCATGCTTAAATTACAGGTGTTAGCAGAGATGGCACTTAGAGGTTTTGATAACTCTTGATGGATATTTGTGCTGTCACACTCACTCTTCTGCTTCTGAACTTGGGAATTTTCTCGCCAAGAATCTTGTGAAACTGTTCTTTGGTTGTTTACATTACAGCTCCTCCTGCTGTTGGATAGATTTTCTGAAGACGTTTTTACATCGCTGAGGTGGCCAAATGATTTAGACTTTTCCTTTTGATTCATTGTACATGGAAACTCTGGCAATAAATTACTAGAAAGGATATCAGAAAAATTTCTCTGGCAAGAGATTGGAGATGTGGAGCTTGAATGTGACAATGGTGTTTGAAAGGTATAGGGACTTGTATTATCTGCATTATCTACAAATAAAGCAAGAAAATCATGACAGGTTTTTCTTACATTGAACAATATTCAGAGTCTGTTGTGTAATTGCTAATGTATTTTCTATAACATTTCCTATTAAAACATATATGCAACTTTTTCATTAGTTGACAAAATTGCTATATGTTAATGTATGAAAAAAAACAAAAAAAAACTGAATCTTCTGAAACAGTAAATTTTCAAATTTGACAGAAAGCAGTTATGAATGCTTTCCCAAAACAAGCTTAGTCAAGAACTTTTCAGCACCACCTTGTATTCCTAAGATAAAGAAACCTAATAATATAAAAGTTTAAAATTATGGTCAGTAAAAGGGTCAAACAATTTTATTAGAAACCATATGCTTTGTTTCCAATCATTTTCTTTTATTTAATACACAAGATGCAGCTCAAAATCTTCAAAGAAAAAAATTAGAGATTTTACAGAGACACATAAAATATTAGGTAACTTGACAGATAAGCAGATGATACATCTCATATTCAATAACATGACCAATTAAACACATGTCATATGCTGATGTGGATTTGTTCAGGAAACACGTGACCAGTAAAACATCAATAATAAAACAAATGAAACATATTTAGTAACTACAAACCTCATTATCTTCCTTAGCCCATTCCTTTATTAACCAGTCAAAATCATAATAAAGATTTGCCTTTAGCCAGTCATCTCCCATTCATAATGTTGCGTAGCAGATTCAAATGTCTTTAACTTATTTCTTTAGACGTGTACAACATCATGTCATATATGGTGACAGAATAATGCAACCTCCCACAAGTACAAAAAAAAAAAAAAAAAAAAAAAAAAAGGGCCAAGACAGACCAACATTGGAAACAAAGTTGCATCACTATTAATAGCAATATGAACAAAATTTACACTCACATGCATACCCAGAAATAACTTCAAAGAAGTAAACACAAAATAAGAAAAACTGAGATTGAAACAAAAAAATAAATAAATTTTGAAGGAAACTTACAAAGTATGGGAGCAACAATATGATTTTTGTTAGCTAACCGCTGGAGGGATAGCAAAAAGACAAGCTGATACAGATCGCAACATTCTTACATGTAGATGGACCACAACCTCAACACAAATTTTCAATTCATTTGAGTTTGTATTTTTATTGTCTCAGTTTCATTGTGTAAAAAAAAATTTTTTTTAAAATAAAAATTCTGTGAAGACTACCAAACAAGGAAAATATATGTCAGATACATATTTTTCAGCAGAAACCAGTTACCATCAGAAAAATTTGACTCATTCCTGTCTGACATAAAGCTAAAAGCTAAAGATTGTGAATTTAGCAATCTCCAGGATGACTTAATAAAAGAAAGGATTGTATGTGAAATCCAAAATGAAAATACATAGAGTTACTACTTCAAGAACCAAGCCAGCAAGAACCAATTGTAGATGAACAGCTGCTTTCAAATAAACATGACCAGATTCTAACAGAACTGTGACCAGAAGTAGTTGGGTAATCAAACCAGCACAATGCCAAACAAACATGATGGTAGTCTACCCATGTGATTGTCCACTTAGTGGTGAAGAAATGTCTGGTAAATTCGGAACGAATTTGGCAACACAAGTGACCATTCCCCAAAATCACAGTATTTTTTGCTTGTTTGTGAGTTGTGGCATATTAATCACTGTACATACACATTCTGGGTTTGGTTTAACACCATGACAAGTGATTAGGTGACCAACATTGCTGACTTCCTCAAACAAACACAAGATTAGTCTACCCATGATGGTTCACAAAAATTTTAAATCCCATAAAGTTAGCTTATTCAAGAGGGAAGATGTGATGTATTTAGCAAATATAAAACTCATCTCTCTTAGCCAATTCCCTTATTAACCAATGAGAATCATAATAAAGATTTGCCTTGGGTCTGACATCTCACTGTTCATAATGGCACTCAAACAGATTCAAATGTTGTGTTTGACATTTCTTTAGACATGTATGTCATACCATGACAGCAAACATATTACACTGAGGTCCTTTTTACCTGTCCTTTCATAGATAGAAATGATCAAATTATTTCAAATAAGGAAATTGTCCCTTTTTTTTTTTATTTCTCTTTCTCTCCCCATGAGAACAAGTCACCAGCTATTGTATAATCTGTTTATAAATAATATTACAATAGTTACCAAATGGTTATGTATTGTTTCATAATACTTATATAATGACATCAAAGAAAGCTATATTTGTCAATAGATTATTGCCAGATCTACAAGTTTTAGGTAATTGGGGATATCAAAACAAGCATTAAATTTTGTGGTTCTAATATATTCACTTCAAACTGTCATAAAAAATACCATAAAGTCTACAGAAATTGTCAATATAAAAACTTTCTTTTACAAAAAACTGTTTTGACAACTGGAAGAAAAAAATCATTACTTACTAAACAGATTTCTCTTAATGTCATCTGTATCTTCTTCAGCAGAGCTAGAATCTTTATCTGGAAGAAAAGAAAATTTATTCATCTGATGAAAACAGAAAAGAAATATCAAGTTCTAGCTTCTTCATCTTTCATACATATTGCTTTGTTTTTAGAAAAAATTGACTTGCTTTTTAAATTGATCTTGATAAAAAAAAATTTATGCAGATACTAAATACTTTTTTAATTTAATTACAATTTTTTAATGAATTAAAGGAGTCAGTTCAGATTTGGTCCTTTACCAGAAACAGTTTTTAGTTTGAAGAAAATGAAGTATTATTATTTCATATTTACACTGGTGTGAACCACTCTTTCACTGTCATATCACTTATGGATACCCTTCTCATCTGTAGTTGTTTTACTATCAACTACTGATTTTCTGGACCATTATTCCGTGTGATAGAAAGTAGTTGGACATACATTGAGAGTGTGTCTGTGTGTGATGCTAATTGGTTGTTTAATTTAAGATTTTGAAAGTTTTTTTTTTTTAGATGAAGAATTTCAAAAGTTGTGCTGACTTATTTTTAGTAATATTAAGTGCTTAAAAAACAAATATGTTTTATTCCATAATTAAAGCATAGTATTTAGCTGAACCATTAGATTGGAGAAGACATAAGATAACAATTTGTATTTCTTGCAAGTTGGATGTGTGAAAGGTGTTTTCTTTTACACCAAGAAGTAGGTCAATCGCATCTCATTCAAAAAAACAGAAGCAATAATTCTGACTGCTGTACCTAACCTATTGCATTACAAGTGCAAATAAATTATTTGTAAAGATTTCCACATATATGCAAGTGGTTTTGTTTTTTTCAAATTTGGATATTCAAAAGAAAGAAAAAAAAACTTCAGGAAAGATCTGGAACTATGCAATGAAAATGGGCTTAATAATTTAAAATATCTCTCATAGCCACCATATCCAGCTATTCTAGTTTATTCTAATTTTTAACAATGTGTGGGTAGCAGGACAAAAGGTATAATCTGGTTTGCCTTCCTATAAATACAAAACAAAATCCAAGAACAGCAAACAGAATTGAAAAGAACCAACTTAAAAGATGTTCTTTAAAATGATTACAATCACCATCCAAATTAATAATTGTAAAACTAATATTGTCAAAAACAAGAGGATATCTTACAAGAAAACAATTTGAAAAAGTAGACAATAGGAAAAAATATACAAATTATAGGAAGATTGACTTACCCTTAAATTTGCTTAGCTCAAGCAATTTTGCCTTCATACTTGGAGGAGTTGTAATGTGAGGCATCATATCAAAGGAGCAGGGCTAACAAAAAATAATTTAATGATTCAGTGCAGTGTTCCTAGTTAAGGTAAATATGACAGTAACATTTATACAGTCAGATACATTTATTTACATAAAAAAAAAAACAATGTTCTTTGTTGTGGCCAATAGTTCAACTGTTCAAAATGATATGTTGCAAGTGAGTCTGCAAAGTGTTTTTATTACAAGTGAGGAAATCAAGTGGTATGGTATGCCAACATGTGTGAAGCACATGCTAATGCAACATGTGTGACAGCTGACTAATTGCGCATGATAGCAATAATTTTAAAACACAATGAACAAAGAGAGGGAAGACAAGACTTACTCTCCTCATGACAATGTATATAGAAAATTCATCACTGATACACATGTTGTCATGATACATGTCATTGTTGTTGATCGAGGCAGATCTGGTTCACTGTCATTGCAGATCTAGTCGCTGACAAGCCGTTTTTATTGCTATTTGACAACAGGTGCTTGGCTTATGAATCTTATACGCAGGAATGTACTCAATAACCCAAGCCCTGATCTATTTCCAGGTCATTTGGAGTTCAACCGTGCTGACATAGTAGAGAGCACACCACATGACTTGCTGTATCCAATCAGGTTTCAGAAACCACTTATTTAATTTGGAGCTCTGTTTGTACAGAATTGTAAAAAGGTTTTTCATGTCTACTGAATTTAGTAAGATTTATTTGTAGGTGTCTCTTACATGTTTGTGCTTCACTTACTGGCCATAAAATATAGGAGTTGATGTCCTATAATGCATCCTTTCACATTGGCAGTCTTTAGGCCTCTCACCTTTGGTGCCAAAATTTGAGTCTTATCCATATTTACCAGATAAATGGATTCATCTCTCCCTATCAGGGATTTTATCAACCAAGGGAAGATAACCTATATTTTTTACTAGCAGTAGAGCCCGGCGTTGCCTGGGGATATAACAGTAAGAGATAGATCAAGTATCGACCATCATAAAGACTTAAAAATAAAATTGACAAAGATTATTGTTTAAGGTTGACGGACACGCATGTCTTAATTAGTTTTTTTTTTTTTTTTTTAATTGGTCAAACCCAAATTCAAACAAAAACATTGTTTACAATCGTTATGAGTCTATCGATTGGTGAATAGAATTTTATTATAAACAATTGTCTTGTAAATGGAATTTTTAAAGCATTCTGAATGTAAATAAAGAAAAAAAGTGTGCAAGACAATAAGAAATACTACCTGCCAAAAAAAAAGTGGATGTTTGTTTTATCGGCTGAAAAATGTAAGAAATCCGATCCCATATATAAAGGAACACACACACACACAACCTGGGTTTTTTAACCTAAGTTACTCCACGGAATCACTAAAACATAGAGGATAGTCTGATGAAAAAGACGCCAAAGTTTATGAAAACAAAATTTTATTGTCAAAATGCTTATGTTTTTATGAAAAGGATAGACTAAATTTTTTTCTAATTATTTTTAAAAAATTTTTCCTTCTTTTTAGAACATTCTAAATTTTGATTTAAACAACTTTGTTTCACTTTGTTGCAACAAGGGCTAGTAAATAACAGATAATTTTTAGCGCGTTTTTTTGTATTACACACATTTGGAAAATCTTGCAAAAATAAAAATAATTGTCAGATGTTAATGAAACTTTCAGAAACTATTCACAGAATATCGAAATTATTATAAATATGTTTTTTTTTTATTAAAGTCATGGCAGAAATATTTTTTTTTATATTTATTAACACCCCATAACTAATTTTATGAAAAACTCTAGAAATTCGAGACCATCAGTTTTAGTGATTACAATAGTTAAAAAGCACAAGGCTTTGAAGAATGCAAATCATGTTTTTTTTTTTGGCCAACGTACCTGAAAATCAGCTGTGAATTGTAACATACAAAACTCAATAAAACAAATATATTATTTAGTTTCAAATGCTTTTATTTGTTTTAATTTGTTTTTTATGAATATGGACAATATTTTCTGAAAGCAAAAAATTTTTTCAATGAAAATTGAATTTTTAATACAATTATTTCTTATTTCTTTAATTTTAAAAAAGATTTTTAAAAAATGTTTAAATTGAATTTTAAAAATATTTTAACATTAGTTAAAAGCAACATCAACCTTTCAAAATGTCCGTGTGAGATTGTCATTGTCTAGCGCTTTGAAAATTGTATAATTTGGACCAATCAGATTAGCCATGGTAATTAAGAAATGTAATTTTGTGTTTATAGTCGGACAGTAATTATCAAGTACGGAAGACCAACCAGAATACAATTTAGTTGCATTATTTGAGTTCAGCATTGTTCTCCGCTGTTAAGCCCTTTTACTTTTTTATTGAAACACGTATGGAGAAGTTAATTTGAGTTTTCAATTTCAACTGAGAAGGGTACCTACAAGTAACAGTATCATCTTATGAAATTTAACTACTGCTAAACTTTAATTTATATGATCTTATTTTTTATATTAATCTCAGTTATGACATTTTTCCATAAATGAAATATCAAAATTAATAAAATGAATGGAAATACAAATAACACAGTAAAATGTAATAAATGTACATAAAATTATAGTATTTTATGTACACTTCTGATAAAATTTCATAAGAAAGGTACCTAAATTAATTAGATACCTTTTTCTTATGAAATTTAATCTCACTATTAACAGTCTTATTTTTTAATTTCTTTATATTTTCCATAAACCATCGTAAACGTAAAAATGAAAGCTAAGTACAAAAAAAAAAAAAAATAAAAATTAGAGCGCTGAAAGTTTTCCTTAAAAGTAACAAGGTAAATAATTTGTTCCAGCATTGTTGGCTGGTTGTGCTGGCTTATTTTAAGAAAAATAGGAAGTTGCCATTTACTGATAATAAATGTCTATAAAGACACTGACCGTAATTTCTCAAGGGTGCCACCATTTTAGTTTCCATCAGATACTCTGCAGTACAGACTAAGGTAAACGGCATCTCCAACACACAATATAATAAAAATATATCTACATAGGCTTGAAAATAGCACTAAATGTTAGTTAACTTTAGAGACCAGCGTCTTATAAATGTATATATACATCAACAGCAATGTAAGTTTCATAAAGATAAGTATGTTCACAGTAGCAGAAGTTACAAAGTTAAAGATGGATCAGATTTTAACATCATACAATCAATTTGATCCAAATATAAAAAAAATAAAAAAAAAACAATTTTTCTTGTTAGAAAATGAAATTGTCAGCGTGTCCATTATAAATAAAACAATTTACTTTTGTAAATATAGAAAAGTCAAAATAACATCTCTTATTTTGCAATAAGGCATTTTAACTAGACTGTGAGATGATGAAAAAAAAAAAAAAAAATGTAATCTTGTATTGAAAGAGAAAATGTCAAATAATTGCACATCCCCTAGGTTTGATAATATTTTACAATGGTTCTTCAAAATGAATATTATAAGAGTCTGAGATTTTACTGTTTTGCGGGAGCATTTTGATATATTATGTTTAGAATATTAAGAAGCCTATCAGTATGTTTTAAAATGAATATATTTAAAATAAGAAAAAAAAAAAAATAAAAAAATAAAAAAAATAAAAATTGTTTCACTAAATACAAAATAGCCTGGAAGAAATAATCTTAACATTCTTATTGAAACACATATTTAAGATTTCCATACATTATATGAAATACTAGCAAAAATTTTGGAGAATCTAAGTGCACACAAACTAAATATAATACAGACCATTGCTTTTACTGTAATGAGTCAATATGCAAACAGCAGAAAAGAGGCTACTTTGAAGAAAATGATAGAAACTATGTTTTAGATTAAGTAATTGTAGTTTTTTCTTTTAATACCATCACATAGACATGACAGTATAAGCAAAGATACTTACAGTTATAGGTGACAGTGCAGGTTCACTGGAGTAAGAATTCTGCAGAATTTTATTCTTGTCTTTTCGTTTTCTTCTTCGTTGACATCTCTGGGAGCTCTCCTCAAACTCTTCAGTTAAATTTTTGGGTTGCATTGATCGAAATTTCTAATTAAAAATGAAAACCTTCAAATCAGTAACAATAGATGATTTTTTTCATTCGTAGTTATGCCATGAGCATGTAGGTCCCTTATTCTAAAATGTGGAAGAAATTTAGGTGATCATGTTTTAAATTTTTTACAAAGATTTGTGTACTTGTTGAATAAATAGTTTGGATTACTGATTTTATAAACAAAGGTTTGAAACCAAAGTAAAAATTTCATTATTTTTTTTTTTGTTAGCTAACAGCAACATAATCTGGAAGAAACACATACAGATTATGAAAAAAAATTAATCAATATATAACTAAGTATTCTTTCCTATAATATATATATATATATATATATATATATATAAAAAGCTTATTTTAAAAGTTTGAATATATAGAATAAAAATATTTTTGATTTTAACATGTAAACAGAACAAAAGTGTTTAATGTTTTTCATATTACCAACTATAAAAGTATCAAGTTAGCTTAAGCCTCTGGGCATGTAATTAAAATGTCTAAAATGATTACATGAATTCAAAGCTCTTCATTGATGCATCAAATATTTAATTATGAAAAAGTACAGCAAAGACTCAAAGAAAAACTCATTAAGGGCAGCTATAGATGAAGACAGTGGAGTGGGGACAGTGTCAACTACAATATATTATAAGGTTAATGCTAGCTACTTGAGAAGACAGGGTTGTACATCAAGATATAAATCAGGTAGACAGTTTGAAGCAATTTTCTTAGACTAATACAAGTAGTGTTCTCTGATCTGGAAAAAAATGAATATTTGTGGGCTTTGGTAAAAATGGCTGCCAGTTGTGTGCCATTCTTAAAAGAACAATTTCTTGCAGAAAAAAAGTTGGATTTACTTTCACTTGTTAAAAAATAACAGTAAATTCAGCAATCCAAAAGGCTTATTACTTTATCAAAGTGTTGACATAAGGTCTGTTCAAAAAGTATCTAATCGTTTAATAATGACTGTATTTAGTTACAACTTGTGCAGTTTTTAATTTGTCATATCAGCTTCAATTCAAGAATCAAATGTTTGCAAAAAATATATGAAGTTAAAAGTTGTTGTTATAATAATAATAATAATATACCAACAAATGTAAATATAAAATTAGAAATTAAAACAATGAATTAGTCCTACAATAAAAATATACATGAAAAAAATTAATTATTATTAGTGTATAGCAAAGAATTATTTTTTTATATGTATAGATTAATTAAGTAAATTAGCTTGCATCTTTGAACAACTTTTTTCTTTTAAATTGGTATCATTTCATGCAAAGCAGTAAAGCCACAAGGGGTTAAAGGGTGTGGAAGAAGGAACAGAAACATTAATAATGAGCAGGAAGAGCAATCAAGGACAGTAGATGGCGATTGACATTGCATTTAAAATTTTTGCTGATTAAAGTCAGGCAGAAAAGCTTGGAGCCAGAAGGGAGTTCCACAAGTGAGAAGTGTGAGAAAAGAAAATGTTAGCATAAAATTTATGGTTACATCGGACCAGCTCAATGTAAATTGAGGAGATCTTAATGCCAGTCTAGTCCTGTGCTTAAATTCAAAAAGTCTAAGTAACATAACGAAGAGCTTATTCAAACAATTACCATGAAAGTATTTATAGAAAATACACAGAGAGGCAACCTTAGGGCAGTGGAAAAGTGACTGAAGCCGAGTCACCAGATTAGGACCAATAATATTGCAGCAATATTCTAAGTATGGATGAATAGTAGACTTATATATATGTAAGATAGATTCTGGTGAGAAAAATTGTCTTGCACGACACAGTGAAGCAACTTTCTTAGCAGCTAATGGCTTTATATATAGTCTTTCCACTTCATGTCAGTTGAGAACATTAGCCTGAGAAGGTATAAAGAGTCACTTTCCTGGAGGTTAGCATCAGCCATGCTGATGGAAGGCAGAGAGAGATCTCTCAGATGATTAATGGAAAGCTGTTTAGTTTTGATGTTAAAATTAACAAGCCATTTTTTACCCCAGTTAATGACAGACTTAGATAGTTTTGGACATCGACCATCATTTTGACCTTGTCAGAATACTCAGCCTATCGATGCAGGAATAAATGGCTGTGTCATCAGCATAGATAACAAAGCTGATATCATTGGGAAGGTCATTAATGAAAATTAAAAACAGGGTACGACCAAGGATGGAGCCCTCAGGGACACCCGTGTTGGTTACAAAGTGGCTGTTCAGGATAACTCTAAGCTTGTTTTAAAACTGATTTGTTATTTCAGGTTGTTTTGGAGACAATTGAAGTAAGCGATTTGAAACATTGAATTTTTTTTTATTTATTTATTTGACTCATATTCTTTGCTTTCCATTCCTAAAAATGCTGTAAAATAAAAAAAAATAAAATAAAAATAAAATAAGAGAAAAAAAATGTAGTGTTACCGTTCTTTTAACAGGAAACAATTTTAGCTTTTCTTCCTGATCTTTATTTGGAAATTCAGCACAAAACACACTTTCATTGACATGCTCCAATGTTTTTTTACAACTACAAAACAAGTTTCAAAAATCAATCACTGATATAACAAAAGCATAAAAGCCACCTATTTGACATTGTAATAATGATGCATTAATTTTCTTTCCAAGTTAAAAAAAATTTTCAGTGAGAGAGTGCAGATATTTTATGATTAATAATTCTTTATAAAGTGATAAAAATATATTTAAAATTTTCTATATAAACAGTGAGATATAAACAGTATGCACATAGCAATCAACACTGTATAGTCACTAGCTGTTTCATGGCTTAAACTAGAGGTGGGCAAACTGCAGCCTGCAGCAAATTAGAAAAAAAAAGGTGAATAAATTTTTGTGAAAGTCAATATGTTTATGCTTTAACCAAGGCTAACTTTTTTAGTGCCATAGAAATCTATGCCCCATTTTCTGATGGTTGCATACTTTCTGCGCATGCATATATTGCACATGCACAGTAATTATTGATAGTCATCTGCGCAACATCTCTCCAACCCTACGAACAATGCGTCCTAAAAAACGTAAAATTGAGAATGAGTGCCATGCATTTAATGAAGAATGGATACACAAGTATTTCTTCACCAGTTCTAAGAATAAAGCGGTGTGTTTACTGTGCCAGGAGACAATTGCAGTGTTAAAGGAGTACAATTTAAAGCAACACTACCAAAGAAAACACAGGGATTTTGATCGTAACATGACCAATGAAGAATTTTAATAAAAGAGGCTGTGGAATATGTTACAAAATTGAACAAGCATACAACAACCAGTCAGGATTTGTATGAATGTGTGGCCAATGCAAATTAAAAAAGTGCCTTATCATGGGATAGATTGACAAGCATAATAATAGATGGTGCCTGGGCATTACATGGGAAAAATGTGAGCATGTTAAACTCCTGGAAGATAAGATTAGAAAAGACAATCCTAATCAATCCTTGTTGTCTTTCCGCTGCATTTTACAACAAGAAAATCAGTATAAATCAGCACTTAACCTGAAGCCTGTGGTGGATCCAGTAGTGAGTGTAGTAAACACCATCAGGGTAAGAGCACTCTATCACAAACAAATCAAATCCCTACTGGATGATATGGAGGCTGGGCATGTTCTCTATCACATCTATGTATGATGGTTCAATCTTGGCAAAGTGCTGAAGCAAGTGTGGGACTTACAAAAAGAAATTCTGCTTTTTCTCAATAAGAAAGGAATTTCTTGTTAATTTATTACAAAAATGGACCGTGATGAGTGGACATATGAAATTAATGTTACCAACTGATGTTTTCAAAATGTTGAATGAGCTAAATGTGAAATTACAGGGAAGGGAACTTTTGGCTTATGAAATGTATAAGCATGTCAAATCTTTACAAGCAAAATTAACTTTGTTTTAAAGGCAGGCAAGTGATGGCAAGTTCACTTACTTTTCATTGTTGGGAAAGGAGAAAGTGCCTACAAATGTGTGCTCAAAAATTACGGACCAGTTGAGAAGTTTGACTGAAGTGTTTGAAAGGAAGTCTGAGGATTTCAGACAGATTGAGTTGAAATTTAACTTATTAACTTCTCCTTTGTTTGTGGATATCGATGAAGCACCTGATGAATTACAGTCTGAATTAAGAGACATTGAATCTGGCCATTCATTAAAGGAAATGAATCATTCCCTACCATTAGTAGAGTTTTACAAGTCACTTTCTGTTCAATGCTTTATATATTTAAGAAATGTTTCTGCCAGATTATTTTTGGTTTCACTTATGTCTGTGAACAGAGTTTTTACTGCCTGAAGATAGATAAGTCCAAGAACAGGTCCATGGTGTCAGACACAAACTTAAATGCAGTGACAAAAATTTCTATCAGCAACTTTGTGACAGATTTTAAAAGAATTGTAAAGCAGAATTGTGACCAGAAACATTTTTCCCATTAAATTGCTTGTGCCGGATTATGAATTTGTTTTTATTAACCATGCTGTCTATATGTTGTATTATCTTAGAGTGCACCACCCAATTTTAAAAGATGCAGCCCTTTGGCTTTTCATGGCCTACTGATGTGGCCCTTGCTCTCAAAAGTTTATCCACCACTGGCTTAAAAAATCATAAATCATAAATTTGTGTGTTAATCCTCCTTGTGTGGGTATTATATATAGGATGCTGATAGCTAATGTCAAGTAAATAAAACTCAGGGTCAAGAGTGTAAATAATCTCATATTAATCCTGAGGGGAAAAAAATAAATAAATAAATAAATAAAAAAATAAAAAGAGATTCCCCACCTACCACATATTTTTCACACTCCCTCTAAGCCCCCCACCCCAGCAACTTATTTATAGAGCCCATATAAACTGGAGTAGCACATCATCTGATGATTACTTATGGTGTGAAACAGACAGACATCAAGAAGTATTGATTTCTGCAATGGTTTTATATAATAAAAATAAGATTAAATTATTTTCTATTCTATTCTTACTTTCTTTCTCATTTTAAACACACACACTGATGAGTCACTACATAACCATCTACCTAATAAGATGTTGGTTCCAATACGTCTTCAAAACAGTTCTTACACCATCAGGTATATAAGAATTCTACTAGCCCTTCAAATGCTTCCTATACAATCTGGTGTGAGAATGTTAACAAGTCATTCAACTGCTGTACATTACAAGGTAGAGCTTATGCTGACTGAACTTGATGGTCTAACAGTGGCTGTTTGACTATTTTGGTGGTGGGTGGGTATCAGCTTTTGCTGGTGGACATTTAAATTGACACCCATAAATTTTTGTAGTGGCAAAACCAGCCATGAAAATACTAATGTTAACTGAGCATTTCACTGTAATTACAATATTCTTGCTATTATTGACACTTTCAATTTGTAGCGCACTTTCTATTTATGATGCACCTCTAGCAACATTATAATCATGCACTGTAATATCCACTCAGTATCCAAATTAGGTTGTTTTGTAAATTTTCTAATTATTAATGCACTATATTAATAACACACATCTTAAATCAAAAAATTAATTGTGGCATATGCATCACTAATACAGAGAATATGGCAATAATGACTGCTCCCCCAGAGAGAGAAAGAAAATTCTTCTCTATTTCTTGCACACACACACTAGTTATAAATAGAAAGTTTCTATTTATCTTCATTCATAGTGTAAGTGGCTGAAACTTGAATAAACATCATTTAAATTTTAATCCGTTAATTTTGAAATTATTGGATGGTGAGCTTTCCAGATTTCCAATGTTGAAAAGTGGGCCTTACACAGAAAAAGGTTGCCGAACACTGGTCGAACTTATTCCATACGTGCTCAGTGGGATTGAGATCTGAGGGGTTTGGTGACCAGGACAACATATTAAAGTCCTTTTCATATTTTGAGATCATTCCTATAAAATCTATGCAGTATGGCAGAGTGTATTGTCTTACTGAAAAATGTTGCTACCATTGTGGAAGACTATTACCATGAACAGGTAAATCTGGCCTTTCATGATGTTGAGTTAGGTAACACCTTCCATATGAGTGATAGGAACCAGTGTTTCCTAGTAGAACTTTGCCCAAACCATCATACTGCCTCTACCAACTTCTTATTTTCCTACAATGCCTCCTGGTGCCATCACATTCCCAGAATACCCACACACAAACATCCTGCTATTCATCTTATTCAAGAGAACTGGCATCCTTCTTCCATTGACACATGGTCCAGTTCCAATGCTCACAGGCACACAAGATGTTATTGGCAATGGACATTAGTTAACACGTGCATTTTGATCTGCGGCTACACAGCCTCATATGCAACAAGAATTGATGTACATTGTGTTGTGACATATTCCTTCCATCACCTTGATTAATTTTTCAATTTGTTCCAGAGTAGCTCTCCTGTTGTATTGTACTTGGAGGGAAAGACTTCTTATAGAATAATGTTTATAAGAAAGTAATATAAATTAAAAATAATACAATACACTGAGTTTGTTTATTGCTTTCCCTTAAAGGGAGAGGATATAAAAATTTATATAAAAAAAAAGTAAATTAAACAAATGATTAATAAAAAAACGTGTAGATAAATAAAAATAAATAAACAAACATATACTAGCCTTGGTTTGTTTATTACACTTGCTTTTAAGAGAAATGTTTTACAAAAAAAATTAACTGAAAGCCAAATAGTTAATAAAAATTCTTTTGAATTGGTTGTGTTTAATAAGGTGTACAATAGGAACATTTTGCACAAACTTATCTGTAAAACTTGTATTCTCTTCTGTTGTTTTTTGTGTTAATGTAATAAATATTTGTTCCTTTCAAATTTCACTTCAGTCTTCTTTGTTTTCTTATGTGCACCTTATTGAATGTTCAGGATAAAAGTGACATTCTCTCTTCTCCCACTCATCTGGCTTGGTGGATAAAGTAGTTGCACCAGCAATTAGTGTTTGAGCACAAATGAAACTACATGTTGGGTCCAATCATCCAGGAATGACTGCTAAAAATCTCCCTCCCCAAATTTATAAACAAATCCTATAGATACATGCTGGAATTTCTTAATAAAAATGGATAATTTCTTGGTCTTAACCTACATGTTCTTTTTTTCACCTTGAAGTCAGGTTTATAACCACTCTAATGTATCTCGTTTGCATATGAACACTTTGTTGTTTTTGGGGGTTGTTTTTAAACAGCGTATTTTATTGTCTTATAGTTACTTTTATTTGCAATGTTCATTTCTGGTATTGTTTTGCTCTGTTCTTATTTTTATTATTGTTGTTATTGGGAATTATACAAATTCCACTTAAAAATGCCCATTTATTCAACAAGTCATGTGACTATGTAGTCATAAGTTTTCTTTTACAAAGTGATCTTCTTGGCTATTTTACATGTTGCAAATGTTTACAGGTTTCTTGCGTATTTTTATTCAAATGCCTACTGAAATACCTATACTTTAACAATTTACCTATGTACATATATAAACAAATACCGCAATAATGATGAAAAGAATTACAGATCTAATGAAAACCAAACTGAGGCAGTTAAGTAAAATAACTGTATGGTACATGTGTGCATGCGCACACACACACCACCCCCAATGTAAAAATAATATTACTGTGTTTCTATTATTATTATTTGTAGCAAAATCAGTTAATTTCACATACAGAGCAGAGTTATCAAAAGAATTCAAAGAGAACCCATATAGGTTATTATAATTTGCACAATGTTTAGACTCTACATGAATGTAGAATATATTAGAATAAATACAGGAAACTTAAAATGATACCAATTTTAGCTGGCTGTAAAATTCCTGCTACTAAGAACCAGATTTTGTCCCACAATTTTTTATAATAAATTTCACTTGTTATTAAATCAGCTTCTTGAAGCCAGTTCTTGCTTGAATCATCATTTTGCTAACTTCAACGTTAAAGGATTTCTTTGAAGATTATCTTCACAGGTCATTTTTATCAAAACACACAAATCACTCTCAATACAAATTATTGATTCATTTTCTACAGACAACCAACCCTTTGAAGGTTATTTAAAACCAGAAAATATTTTCAGATTGCTAGAATAATTTTGGAGATAAGTTTTGGTTTAGAGATACAAATCTTATTAATTAACCCATAACTGGGAGAGAAGAGGTGAATTCATACCATTACCAAGTGTATTTGCACATAAATGAATATAATGAACACAACAGGAATTGGAACTCGGCTGTCCAGTCACTATCCATTACACTACCTCCACCACCCAAGCTTACAGCTCTTGGTATTCTCAAGTGGTCACCCATCTAGGTACTGACTAGGTTTTATGTTGCTTAACTTCGGTGATCATACAGGAATCAATGTTTCCACATGATGTGGCTGTAATCTCACTATAATTGGATTAATACTGGTCATCCCAATTACATTAACTTTTTTTTTTGTTTTTGATCTATTAGTCATTAATAACTGAAGCTTTCGATCCTCAAGCAGCTATAAGCAGCTCTCAAAAACTATTCACAAGTGACATTAACCTTACCTCACCAAACCCCTAAATAAAAACTTAGAAATAAATACTTACCTATCCACCCAAAGAACAGAAACCAAAGGAATGTTAAGTTTCTTGGCTCGTTCCCATGTTCGGTTAGTGCCGTCTTTAAAGACAACATGAGTGACATTAACATTCAACTTTTCATTGATGTCGGCTCCAAGTTTCCGTAATTCCTCTGCAATTACTTTGCTTCGATTTTCACATTTGGAACGGACTTCTACATAGGCACATACACCTAATGGACAACACAAAATAGGAGTCAAAGTAGGAGTCATAAATTGCATCATGCTGACAATTATGTAATGCATTTTGTGTCAAACTTCATTTCCCTCCATAAATACAGATGCATTTAATGGTTTATGAACCAACAAGCAAGAGAAATTTCTTTATCAACAAATACATTTAGTTTTGTATTTTTCTGTTTGGACATCTGGTGACCACTAGTTGATTTCATTAACTTATTTTTAATCCCTCATTGTGTAATTTAAAAATTTGTTAATGTTTTTTTTGGGGGGTGGGGATCTTTACATAGATAAAATGTTGCAACTTAAAGAAAAGAAACTAAACAATATGAAAACATAACATTTAATTCACAAGTCAAAAATATGAAAAAATACTTGCAACAAAGATAACAGATGAATTTAATGGAGATTAAACTTAAGTGAATGATCTTGGTAGCTATTTTAATCAAGGAAATGTGAGTTAGATTAGCCATTTTACATGTGTGTGTGTGTGTGTGTGTGTGTGTTAAAGCTCTCAGAATATATCTGTAGAGAAGACAAATTGAATAAAATAGACGATCAGAAAATATTCCTTGCCAACAGGTTTTGTCATTTGACTTTATTAAGGCAAGTGATGATAAACAAAAGCGAAATGTTGTGTAGTTACATTAATTTCAAAAATTTTAAAAGATGCTCCTATATAAGCCTCTTTTTGGATATTAGTAACTTTTTTTTGGACTAAGTGTATGTTTTTTGAAAAAAAGAAAAAGTTACTAATATCCAAAAAGAGGCTAACTACACAACATTTCACTTTTGTTTATCACTTGTCTTGATAAAGTCAAATGATAAAACACATCAACAAGAACCAAATATTATTTTCCGATTGTCTATTTTATTTATATATATATATATATATATATATATATATATATATATATATATATATAAATTTCCCAAAATGTGTGTGTGTGTGAGATCGAATGTTGTTTATGTGTTTCCACAGTTTTCATCCAATTTCAATGAATGTTTTGTTTGATAGATAATTCTTCAGTGATGGTTTTGAGTCCAAATTACACATTCCCCTTCTCTTGGCCAAGAATTCAATCTCTCTCAAGTGAGGTTACCTTTTCCGTTGCATAAATCCTACTACTACAGTTTTAAGGCGTTGCTTTCATTGTCGTTTATAGCCATTCCCAATTTAAATTTTTTATTGTCCTGCCAGTTTTTGCATTGCATTCATCATAGTAATAAGTAAGCTTGCTTTTTTTATTACTCAACATTTATTTTTCCAACCTTTCCTAAAGTTATTCAAACTTAGTGATTCTTGTAGCTTTAGAGTGTTCTCTTCTGGGATTTGCCCACACATTCCATTTGACAATTCATACTTGCTTAAGACATGCCACCAAAGAGAGGAACTTGCCTAGGTCACAAAACCGCTGCCACCAGGTCCACCATGTGGATAAGAGATAACAAATTGTCTTTAGAACGTTCAGTTTGCCTGTCTCAAAATGCCTCACGGAATGCTTCAATCAGAGCCACCAAGTCTGAAGAACAATGTAGCCATCAGCTTTCCAGAAGAGCATACCTGAACGCCTCTGCACACGAGGCTGAAAATGATGATTCCTTTAATTCAACGGCTGAGGAGAAACACCTCTTCAACTGCTGCAGTGCATGAGGCTGAAACAAGACCGAGAACACAAAAACAGCCATTTCAAATTGTTAACCCCCCAACCCCACTTTAGGGAAGGGCTCAGTTGCACCCAATTGTTACTAATACCGATTTCTTGGGGGGTGGGCTGACTTTAAACTTAAACTGCTCCAACTAAATGTAAAAATTCTCAATAATGAAAGGCTCGGTCGAAGACAGGTTATACCACTAGTATGTGTGTGTGTATCCCAGTTAATGTTTACATTAGTTATAAGCAGAACTCCTTGGAGAATTTAAATTATCAATTTCTTATTTTAAAACAGGACTCAGTTATTGAAAATCTGCTCTGAATTGTTAAAAAAATGCAATAATACTAAGACATTATTTAGTTAGAAAAACTTAATTGCTTTTATGAATAAGATATAATGAACATCATTGTTTTGTGAAAAAAATAAAACCAAAGTATCTAAAATTTAATAAAACATTAGATTATGGAGAATATTTTTAGTTAAAAATTATATATATTTCAAAAAAATTATAGGTATGTCCACCGTAAAAAAAAAAATTATGTAAACTTCAGTCAGTCAATTAAGCTGTCAACACTTTAAATAAATAGCTACTGCCATGTTAAAAAATGCATTTCTGTCATGTTTTAAAAATAAATTAATATTGTTTCAAATCAGATGAAATAAAACTTAAGTCAGCTAGTACTCCTCAAATAAAATTTTGGAAAAGTATATTTTATTTTTGAAAGATTTTTAATAAAGAGAATTTAAGTTGTGATAAAAGATGGCTTAAGTTGGCATTAAAACCAGCAATTTTAGCATTATCCTGATAGTTAAAAAAAAGTCTATACTCCACTCATAAGTACAATATCAATACTTCAAAAAAATAAAAACAAGCAAGACATCTTATAGATCCTATAGCAGGCAATGGTAAACCAATAGGGCAATATACTTAAGAGAAAAAGAAAAAAAACTGAAATGAAAATTGGTACCAGCACATATGTGATTTCATATTGAATAGCTAAAACTGCTAATATGTCAAAAAAGGTACTTAAATGATTCATCAATATATATACCTTGTCTAACTTATGCTAGTGTTCACAAAAACTGAATTTCTATCAAATGAACACATTAAGGTAAATCAAGTTTACATTTAAATATTTTTTGCCTTTCTCTCTCATGTACACCTTCATCTTACCTTGAAGGACTTTGCTGGCCTCTTTAGTAGTTGAAGAAACTTCCATCTTTGTTTAAGTCTGAAGATTAAACTGAAAATAATTACAAAAAAAAAAAAAAAAAAAATTACTTTTTTTAATAAGCTGTATCATCACCATTTATCTAGTTCACTAAATTAATAATTTTTTTTTTTTCAGACTGTACATTCATCAAAATATAAAATTTATGTAGATAACAATTAGCAAATTTGTTTCTTTATCAACACAAACTGACAAAAATTGAGAATGAAAAGGTCTTGAGACAATAAGATTGTCTGGAATATTTAAGTAATTATTTTAAAATCTTAGACTTTACACAAGTATATAAAAGGCTCATTCCGTGTCAAATCAACAAGGGGTTAGACCATGCCCGACACGGATTTTTTTCAAATTTGGTACAATGTACATGGTGAGACAAGCAAAAAAACTTGTGAATGAGGAAGGAATTTTAGCTTTGCCAAATACACGAAAAACTAGAGATTCCCACAAGAGACGATTGATAAAGTGAGGCAGTTTTATAAAAGTGAAGAAGTCAGTAGAGTGATGCCTGGAATAAAATGATTACAAGACTGTTTTAAAGGATGGGAAACGGGTTCAGGAACAAAAATATTTTTGTAACTTGAAAGAGGCATTTGAATTATTCAAATCAAAGAACCAGGAGAAAATAAGCTTCTCTAAATTCGCTGAGCGTAGACCAAAAGAATGTGTGCTAGCAGGTGGTACTGGGACTCATACTGTCTGCATTTGCACAATCCATCAGAATATGAAGTTGATGATTTCAGGATCTCATCTTGGTAAACTAACTGAAGGAGAAAATTATCATTTGACAGATAACCATCAATGCATACTTGCTGTTACATGCAATGAAGTATCAGCAAGTTGCTACTTGGGTGACTGCTCATCTTGCAGCAAACTGATGGATGATTTTGTTTTGTATATGGAAGAAATTTTTTACAAAAATTCAGTTGATGATTTTGTATACAAACAGTGGTTATCAACTGATAGAACCACTCTACAAATTATCACAATCCACAGAGGAATTCATTGAAACTTTCCATGCAGGCCTTCAAACATTGAAGAAGCATAATTTCATTGCCAAAGCACAATCAAAATTTTTGTTCTGATAGAAAAGGTTCTTTGAAGGTTGGTGAAGTTTTAGCAATAGCAGATTTTGCTGAGAATTATTCATTTATTTTGCAAGATACGACTCAAGGCTTCCACTGGAATAATGATCAAGCTACATTGCATCCATTCATCTGCTACTATAGAAATAGAACTGACCTTGAGCATATTAATTTTGTAATAATATCTGATTGTCTCAAGCATGACACAGTAGCTGTCCATTTGTTTCAAAGAAAGCTTATAGAAAAATTAAAAGAAATTCTTGATTTTGATGTCCAAAAAATGATATATTTCTCTGATGGTGCTGTTTCACACTATAAAAATTTTAAAAACTTTATAAATTTGTGCAACCATAAATCTGATTTTGGTATTGATGCAGAGTGGCACTTTTTTGCTATTTCTCATGGGAAAGGACCATGTGATGGGTTAGGTGACACTTTTAAAAGGTTAGCAGCAAAAGCTAGCCTGCAGCGACCCTATAATGAACAAATCATGATGCCAAGACAGCTATATTTTTATGTGAGAAAAAATATTTCCAGAATACATTTCTTATATTCTTCAACTGCAGAATGGACGAATGAAGCAAACATCTTAGAAGATAGATTTAGCAATTCCTCCACTATTATAGGAACACAGAAATTACATACTTTCATTCCTGTCTCTCAGAGAGAATTGGAAGTCAAAATAGTGTCAACACAAAATAAAGGACGAATAGTTCGAATCACAAAACTAAACAATATGGAGTTTGAAGACATTAACGGATTTGTGACAGCACTTCACGATAGGAATTTGTGGTTAGGATGTGTACTTGAAAAATATCCAGGTAACGGAGAGGTGAAATTGACATTTTTACAACCAAATGGACCCTCTCCATCTTTCTATTATCCATCACATTCAAATATATCAATTTTGAAATATTCTGATATTCTTAGCTCAGTTGATCCAATAATCGAAACAGGAAGAACTTATAAACTTTCAAAAAATGAGATGAAAAATGGATCAAATATTTTAGAAAGAAAGATTTTGAAAGAAAAATCTAAAATACATTAAAGTTCATTATTATAAAAAAGTTTCAGTGAAACAGATTTTTCATTTTCCATTTTGAAATGTATCCCAATGAACACAGATTGATTTCTTGTGGATATAGTGTATCATGTCAGAAGTCAAAGAAACTGTTTACCATCAACATCAAATGTCATTTATTCTTTTGATACTATAACCTAATTAAATCTTGACACTTTTTTGAATTCTTTCTTTATTACATCACTTTTTCCGTATCAAAATCTGTGTTGTATAAGAAAAAGTATGAAAGGAATGTTAAAAACAGTTTGATCTCCAGAAAAGAATTATTTTGATTTCACAACCTGAACTTGCATAAAACTCAACATGTCAAGAATTATTTTAGAACATTCACTTTTAAAGATTTTCATTAAAAAAAAAAGTAACCATAAACAACGGAAATTGCTTTATTTTTGTAGATTTAGAATATCAAACAATCAAAATTTGTTCACCATTGAGGTCACATTTTTTATGCTATAATTTAAGTAAACCTTAACACTTTTCAGAATTCTTTCTTTATTATATCATTTTTTCCATGACAAAATCTGTGTTGCATTAGAAAAAAAATTAAGAAAATTCAGTTTCATCACCAGAAAAAGTTTTTTATTGATTTCATGACCATGGTCCTTATGTGAATATTAATCAGCATTAAAATAGCTTTACAAAGATATACAACTTGACCATATTGTGAAATATCAAAATGTTTTTATATGAAGTAGCAGATACTACATTCCGCCATTTTGAATTTTCCCAGTTCTATAAAACGCTTGTAACAACAGTTCTAGTGGAATGCCCATCATGAAATTTGGAATATATACTGTCATAAGATAGACAAATCTTTTGTCAAAATTTAAAAAAAAATTAAAATAACGTTTTTTGAGATAAGTCAGATCAAAGGTCAAGGTCAACTTTTTTATTTGACCTCTAAAAAAAAAAAAATCCCCAGATAAAATTGTACATCTATCCAAGTACTTTAGAATGATATATGAATGAACTTTGTAGGTCCATAAACAACTGAGATATCATCTTTTAAAATTGGTCACTATTCACATTTTCGTAAAAAGGTCAGAGGTCATATCACAGGAACCCCTTGACCTTGAGATGTGTAACAGGTGCCATTCAATTCCTTTCATGGAGATCTATAAGTGTACCAAATTTGAAAAAAATCCGTGTCGGACATGGTATTTGCCCCCCCAAAAAATTTGTTGATTTGACACGGAATGAGCCAAAAACAAAAATCCTTTCAGGTAATTTTTTTTTCAATTCACAATCAATTAAGTCTAAGGGATTTATGCATTGGAACAAAGCTCACATTTGTGCAGATGTAGTTAATTTTTTTTATTATTATTTTACTTCAGTAGCTGAAATGGAAAACAGGAACAAAATCCTGGATTTTTTTATAACAAGATTAAAGATAAAAATTTCTTGTTAAACATAAAATGTTTATCAATAAGCTAATCTTTTAGCATTACATCCTTAAGTACTCTGAAATAAGGCTAAATGTTGGTACCAATGATCAATCTAGAAGTTTATTTCAATTAGACACTATTCTCAGTAAATTAAAAAATAAAAAAATAAACAAAGACCTTTTAAATTTAACAATGTGAGACAAACATTTTGAAAATCTTCAATTTTTTTTATTTAGATAGTTAATTACAGTAAGGCTACTTCAAAAGTAAAATGAGATCCAACCAAAGTATACTTTATGAAAAATAAACTGAAAATGAATTGGGGAAAAATTATTAAAATTACAGAACATACATCCAGAATATTTTAAAATGCATTAATGTAAGTTACATAAAAATGAATTATCTGTCTTCATCTTGGTTATAATTTATGCACATTCTTATCAAAGGATAAGAAATGCAAAATGAGACAGTATTACCAGGTGTTCTTAAATGTAAGTTGTCTCCCCAACTGGTGCCAATTCATCGGAATGACATATAACATCTATTCCATTTTCTCTTACCTTTTATGGCTGAAGCCACACCACTGATGCAATGTACGACCAAGCCAACTAACCAGTAATACATCATTTCACTTTTCTTTATCTTCTATGTATTCAGTTCGCTGCATGAAAAAACTCTTACCTAATTCTAATTTCTGTAAATGCAAAGTGTTTTCTCCCAAATGTTTGTTCTTGGTTTTATTCACCAATGTACACAAGTGTTACTAATGCGTGTATGGTAATGCTACTCGAATAGGATAATCTCCAGTAGCCATTCCAAGATGAATAATAAGCTCTTTTTATTTCCACCCCCAAAACCAAAGTAAAGCAGAAAGAGCTGAATAGTAAAGTTGTTTTAAAAGAAGACTTACATTTTTCTAGCAATTTACAATTTTATTTGCATTATTAATATTTTTCTTCTGTATGATCAACATAATATGAACTTGTTTCATTCATAAATTTAAATTGATACATAAAAAAAATTCTCAAATGTGTTTTGTTTATTGTTGGCATTTAAATGTAAAGTTTGAAGTACATTATTTGTAATTTAAAAAGGCAAAAAAATGTTAAAAGTTTCAATTAATTTAAATTAGTTCCTAAGGCAAAGAAATCCAGTTTTGATTTTAAGAAGTGGATGGTAATTAAGATTCGATTAAGTAACAGACTTTTAGTTTTAAAAATGTAGTTTTTATGTAAACTTTTGTTGTGTTCGAATATGACATTCATTTTTTACAGAAATGTTTCATTCTTTTAGGAAAATTAAAGTGAGATTGAGTGGAATGTCCAATTTTCTAAGCTATCTTCCCTCGTTACGTTGGTTATGTCAACGTCAACCAACTGCTTTTTTCTTGTATTAAAAACTAAGTTTACTTTAGCACGTTTCTAAATTATTTAGAGACTA